CCAAATTTTGATTATTTTCGACCATCATTATTCGGACAATATTTTCTAGTATAGATTTTTTTAAAATTTAATTCACAGAAGTAAAGACCGGAGCCACAACAGCGGTGGAGGCCCTTTTTTATCGCTATCGGAGATCGTATGTAATTCGAAAAGTATCTAATTTTTTCTTTCAAAAAATTTACGGTTTTAAAACAATTGATCCAATAGATTTTTTCTTTAATTCTCTCCCATTTTTTTATACTCTCGCAACTTGTTGCTACAGAGTATAATAGTTTTGTTCATCTAACGGTTGTTTGTATCACCTAAAACTAATCGATTTGGATATAGGGTTATGTATATATAAATGATCAGGATGAAGAGACGAGTTGAAATCGGGGTGACTGTCTGTCCGTCCGTCCGTCCGTGCAAGCTGTAGCATGAGTAAAAATTAAGATATCTATATGAAACTTGGTACACATGTTTCTTGGTACCGTAGGACGGTTGGTATTACAGATGGGTGTAATCGGATCACTGCCACGCCCACAAAACGCCATTCATCAAAAACAAACAAATTGCCATAACTAAGCTCCATAAGAAGATACAAGACTCTTATTTGGTATACAGGATCACATTAGGGAAGGGCATCTGCAGTTAAATTTTTTTTTGATTTGGGCGTGGTCCCGCCCCCTAATAAGTTTAATGTGCATATCTCCTATACCACTGAAGCTATAATAACAAAATTCACTTGGAACAAATATTTTTAGTATCTTTATTGACAGTCTGAAAATGGGGGAAATCGCGTGACAACCCCGCCCCCGTGATTTTTCACTTTCCAGTTTGCAAATCAAGCATTAATGACTATATTGCAACAATGACTATTTGCGTGAATAATAAGTTTAAAGTATGCCACCTTGTGACCAAAAATTATCTAAATTGAACGAAGACTGTTCAAGCCCCTAGGTACTGACCGATCGAAATCAAGTGCTTTTAGTGATTTTATATTTGTGAAGGGTATATAGCTGCGACGTAACCGATGTTAATGATTTTTTTTTGTTTTTCTCTTTTTAGTTTCAATCGGTCAAGCATTTTGTAGATCATAAATTTTTCTTATAAGTGAGTGTTATCACTATATGCCTATAGCTTAATTTTGAAACTGATACACATGTTGACGTATAATATCATCCTCCAAACTTTTGTTTCTAGCGTTTATCAATTCCGAATTATCGCACTCTAAGAACTGTTATGTCAGATTTTGAAAATTTGTACATCAAAGTTTAAATTAATGATAGCCGATATGGGATATAATCGATATATGACGTCACTATATGATGCTCTGCAACACACATATTGTCATATAACACAGTTATTTATAGATAAATGTTACGATCACGCCTATTGCATATACTTGCGCAGAGTGTTGGAAAATATATAGATATGTATGTAAATTTAGATAGAAAATAGATGATTTATATCAAAAAACTTGCAAGGATAAAAAGAATTCGAATCAAATGGGTTTCTTTAATTTTAATCAACAATAAAAAAATATACTTCCACTTAGTCTTTATTAGTTAAAGTAAAATTTAACTTAGAATACACTTGAGGGCAATAATCCCCTGATATTGCAACCTCTTTTACCAAACTTGTATTTAAATTTTATAACTGAATACCTTCTGCTTGCTTTCTTACAACACTTACCTAAAAGCAATATCTATCGTAAAAAAAAAAAAATAAATTGTGTTTCTCTGCTAAATTCATAAGCAAACTTTCGCCCATATTTTTTAATTAACTTTATTGAACGAAATCGCAAGGTAACGTTAAATAAAGCACTGCATACTTTTCATTCAGCCCCAAGGTATTCTAAATTAAATTTATTTCTTCCTTTATCTGCCATTTATCAAATAAGTTTTGCTTTTCTTTACGAATTTTCCATTGTGTGAATTTTTATTTAAATTATTTGTTGCAACTTTCTTCAGAAGAGCAATTATTTGCGAATATTTACTCCAAATACAAAGCAAACTGATTTCTATCTAAGTGAATTATTTATTTTTAGCTCTTTATCAAGCCCCCTACTCTGCCTCTCTCATTATGCTGTGATAACAATGACATTTTATTGTTTCTGCAATTTTCCTAGCTTGTTACAACAATTTGTGTTGGTGCATAAAATGTGGCGCTGGTTAAAATTCATTTTGTATTGTCGTTTATTATATTTTACGCCAACGAGATTAAACCGAATTTAAATATTCATTCGTATTCTAGCCTGAAAGACCAGCAAATTGCACTGCTTTCTTTACTTCGAACCAAACAAAACTTCGCAATCAAGAAACTTCGCTTTACAATACTGGCCACTGTGAAGTCTTACGCTTTCGTTATGAGCGCCGCTTTCACCGTTCAAGCATGTAGATGAGGCCAATGGGACTTTCGCCTGCTAAATGTCAAAAATATTCAAATTTTAGGTCAAGTGTGAATTTTATGAAAGCAACGGGAAATTAAAGCGCTCCCATACCAGCGCACATTTTCTATGACATTTTGGTTGCCATTTTCCTTCGCTTTTTTGGTGCGCTTGACCACTTCTCCGTACAATATTTTAGGTGTCTAGCCTTTTATGACTCCACCCAAGCGCTCGCTGCCCAATAACTTTATGATAGCCGATGGAAGCATCCTTTTTTTCTAATTCTAACCTCACTCTCCACCCCCTGCATGATTTACTTTGCCACCGACTCTTGTCTACACCCTCGGGCGGCACGTCCTTCGGCGTTGTTGTCATACAACTTGTATAACTTGTAACTACATCATGTAAATTTTGTGCGTCACTGCTTAATGCTTTTGGGTGTGTGTGTGAAAGTGTTATTTGCGGCAGTCGCCTTTGCTAATCTGCACGTGTCTTCTGGAGACAGAGCCGCATGCCAGCCGCTGAATGAAATTGTATCCTTACGTTAAGCGTCTTGCTCGTGGCGTTTCTGGGAGAACTCACTTGGTTGATTTGGTATTCTGTGTGTAATCCAAGGCGCACACGTCCATTGCAATGTTTGACTCAACACTGCTAGCAACAAATGTACATATGTAAGCACAACTACACATATACTAGACATAAATACGTGTGCCATTGCGAGTGGGAGTGTGTGTTGGTGTGTTATTCAAGAATTGGTCAAAGATTAGTTTTGAAGGAAGCATTGTATTTTAGAAAACTTTCGTGAAAAGTGTCAACACACACACATACATATATGTATGTATACGAGCAGAAGAAAGTAAATTGGTTTTTCGTACATATCACACACACACACACACATACGTGTGCGACAAGCATGTGTGTGACGAAGTTGAAAAGGTGTTGCATAAATTTCGTTTTTTGCACATAACATTTAGGCGCATAATGGCCAATTTTCTAAATTGACAAGGAAATTGCTTTCGTTTTATGGTAGCGGTAGTGTTGAAAAGCAATATACATTTATTATGAGACACACAAATTTCAATATTACAAATATTACACATGTTTGGCAACATTTTTGCGTTCACTATGGCTAAAATTTAAATTCTTTGAAAGTTTCAGCTTTAAAGTTTCGTAGTTGACACAGTTTGTCTCTATTTGGTATTAAATGCAATAGAAACCAGAAAAACTTCGTAACTTCGGCTGCACCAAACTATAGTATCCTTCACAGTCACATTTCTCGTAGCATTTATCGGTCGGTTTGTATAGCTGCTACATGCTATAGTGGTTCGCTCTAAATAATATGCTCAGAGATTATAACCTTGCCTTGGAAAATTATCTCTGCCAAATTTCGTGAAGTTAACTCGTCAAATAAAAAAGTTTAACATACAAGGGCTTGATTTGTATCGACCGGTTTGCAAGGCAGCTATATTCTATAGTTCTGCGATATCGGCGGTTACGACAAATGAGCAGCTGCTTAGGCAGAGAAGGATGTGTGATCAATATCTTAAAAACTGACAGATTAGTTCGAGCATATACTATAATGACTTCTGGGTGTTATTTCCTTCTGGATGTTACAAACTTCGTGACAAACTTAATATATCATGTTTAGGATACAGAAATAGCCACTATAAAGTAAAATTATAGTCAACATCATCTTTGATATCATCCTCAATGTGATCAACAATAAACTATTATTAACCTTATTGCCAATCCGATATTATCAGCTATATGATCATTAGTTTCATCATCAATACCATTATAAATAAGGAAAAATTCAGCAAACATTATGAAAGTCTAATAAATAATTTTAGTAATAATAATAATTTTAAATATATAACCTCACAACAAAAAATTTTCATTTGCTAGTTTTTCAATTATTTAAAAAAAAACAATGTTGACTCTCTTTCTTTCTTTCTTTACCCTTTACTTACTAATGTTGCCCAAAGCCAAAGCGGCCTTCTGTCGCATTATGTTTTTGTGACCGAAAAACTTCGTAGACTTAGAAAACTTTCGGCACTATTCGCGCAGACAGTTTGAAATGTGTCAGTGATTTATTAACTTCAACTGATTACACTTTTAGTGAGTACCTTTTGGTAATATTTTCCAACTGTTCGCTTTTGAATAATTTACAAAACTTTGCTGCTTTTCAAACTAGTCAAGTCATTCAATAATCACTACCTCTGTCTACAATGAAAAACCTTTAGCATTTGTGTGTTATTGAAATCAGCCATTTTGTTACTTCATGCTAATTTCAATATTCTTCTTCCAGACTCTCAGTTCTTTTAGTATTAGCATATTGTTATACAAAAGCGGCAGTGAAAGCTTATTTGTGAGTGCCGTAGTGCATTCAATTGGCACAATAAATTACGTACATGCCATGGGACGGCAAATTAGCCATCATTCTTATACAACTTCGGACACTTAGAACTGGAAATATGTAGTGAATGGAATGACTTATACATATAAGTTCGAAAGTCAAATGTGTTTATATATAAGAGGTGCCGTTGGACAATGAATTCTATGTACGAGTATGTGTTGAAATTTGAAATAAAAAAATTAGTTCAACATTCTTAAAGAAACTTTCTCTACTTACCTCGAATTCCAGCAATTGTGTAGGACTCAGCAAAGCATTTGGTTCCAAAAATAGACGTGGTTCGATACTGCGGCCTGTGGCATTGTAAGTTGTAGAATTTAAACGGCGCATTGCTTTAGCCAAATTGTAGCGAATGAATGCAGCGCGTTCTACAACAATAAACAAAACAGATTGCATTTAATAAAACGAAAATACATTTTTAATTCGCTTAAGGCTTCAAGATATTTAAATATCTGAAAGCTTTCAAATAATGGTTTGTGTCGGTGCTTAGCAATTTTTCAAACTAAAACTTTTAAAAACGAGGAAGTCCTAAGATTTTTTCTAAAAGACATCTGTCGCGTCGTCCTGAAAGAGTATATGTTAAATAAATAGTCTGCTGAAGTACTCAGCTTTATTTATATATCGCCTTTTTAGTATATTTTGCATCCTTAAGTTGATTTTGAAAGCTCTGTCTACAATTAGAACCAAGGCGCTTCGCCACCTTGGATATGTGACTCTCACAAATTAGACTCTCACAAATTAGAAGAAAAGTATTTGAGACGTTTTAAATCACGGTTCAGATGATAAGTTTTCCTGAGAAGCGACCAATTCGAACTTTATTACGAGCTTTCTCATAATAACTTTAACTTGGAACAACAAGAAGCTCATATTTCCCTACTTTAGAGACACCGTCAAACACCAAACTTTTAATAGGTTTTATTTTTGGACACTCAAAGCCTCTTAACAAAAAATTCAGCAACTTTTGACCTAAAAACTGGTGAGAATGTACGAATCTTTGCTACAAATCACTTTCTTCTCTTGGCTGCACACCTCAATAAGTATGTGCAAACTCAGAAGCACAGCTAAGAAGATGTATATAAATATTTTAATGGCTGTACAAAACGTGTTGAAATATGTGGCAATTTGCTCGTGTAATGATGCCAAGAGTGAACTTGAGTAAAAATATAAATTCTCTTCATGCTGAAAAATAAAAAAGAAGAAGCGCACAAGAGAAAGAAGAAGCCATCAACTTGTTGAGTTGTGGTTGTTGTTGTTGACGCTGACAAAACATGTGCAACATGAGCAATAAACATGCGTGGCAAAAATAATAGTTGCACTTTGCCACACTTGCCACACATGATGACAACAACGTGACGACCGCAACGGCACACGAGTGACAGCCGACAAATGACACTGTAACTGCAACTACATTCTGACAACAACAACAAGAACACTTGCTTATAGTATGAATACATATGGCACACTAAATAAAAGTTGTTTCACGACTGTGCTTGTGTTTATGTTTGTTGTTGGAGTGTTTGCGCAAACACACTCATACATGAAGAGTTGACAGAAGTGCGTGTGTAGGTGTGTGCGCGCAAAAGTAAGTCAAATGTGTGGGGCGTGTCATTTTGCTGACGGCAATGACATAAAATCTGAAGATGTACTGCCGCTGCCTCCGCGTCACTGCCACACGGAACGGAATTGCACTTGAATGTTGCAAAAGTGAGACATCAAGAAATGGCGTGTGTCAAGAAGAATTTGGGTGAAAAGAAGCACGCGCTTCCTGTAGCCGTTATAACTGTGTTAGCATGAGCTAGCATGTGAATGTTTGGGTGTGTGTGCCAGGCCATCAAACAGCCGTAAAAGCAGCGGCGCCAGCGAAAGTGTTGGCATGCGCGAAATTTGTTTTTGTCGTCGAAGTGATTGAGTTGAAATGTGCAGAAGCGCAGGGATCGCGCATCGTTAGCGTCTTCGCTTGTCTAGTGCCATCGCTTCTGTAGTGGCAGCGACACGCACAATGGCATCTCAAGTGTGACAGCTCGCATAACGGTTTGATGCGACAAATCAGTTTTCACTAATGACTTTAACATTAACGGGACATTTTCAGCAGCAAAGTGGCGTGCATAATTTTCGCCGCTCAAGTTGATTTTATTACACGCTAAAACTGTTGAGAAACAGTTATAAAACTTAACTGATTTAAAAGCCTGCACCAAGTGATGAGGGAAATGCTTGACGTGCGCGCTAAAGTGTTGACGTTTGAAATTTATGCACAGATGGTTGCTTGTGAAGCGAAAATAAAATATTTTGATTTTAGCGCAAAATATTTTAAATTACTGAGTATATTGACGAGAGGCTCATATTATTCTCTGATAGTTAGTAGTTGTTGTTTTTGACTGTATACAGACTTAAATCTTTTATAGAAACACAAGTTAATATAAGTGCAAGCCTAAGTGCATAAGTCCAAGAGTTACGTCATTCGTCAGAGTCATACAGCTTTTCTTTCATGGAAAACTTTTCGCATTTCAACTTGAACATTTTTCACGTCATTAGTGTTGTTACTATTTTCAAATTTTTACAAAGAAAAGCAAAAGGAAAAAGAGACTACAAAATTTTTTTTATTTACGTTTATTAGGTAGGTATATTTTTTGTGACCTCTACTCTATAATATTGTTTCAAACCTCTCGAGCCATATGGCAGGAGTGTGTTGGCGAAGCAATGAAGTGTTTTGAGCAAAATCCTTTGAATCGCTGTTTTAACGATGGAAGATACTCCTGTCAAACACACACTCATATTTCAAAGGAGTTGGTGCAAACTCACAAAAATATTTATTCACTGTGGAACTGAAAACGGAGACCACAAATGAGTAATGAGATAGAAAGATGTTTAAAAATTTCTGTAATCGCGTCAAAAAAATTTCGTTTTCAATAAAAAAGAAAAAAATACGTTAACTTCAGGGCATCGAAGCTATAATACCCTTCACAAATAAAAACAAAAAATTCCATACAAAAACTTGATTTTGATCGGTTTTGAGTGGTCCGATCTATGCTTGCTTTCACGTCTCGCAAGTTATACATAATAATTAAAAAAAAAAAATAGTGAGTAGTTTCCACATTAATATAATAAACGACCATTTGCTTTCATTAGCTGCATGGTTATGAAAGAATTAAAAAGATGTTTGGTGTAAAAAATGATGTTGTTTCAAATCTTAAAGTACATATTTCAAGAAAAATATTAATAAAGTGCTGAAAGTGCTGTAAGTTACTGAAAATTATTTGGATTCTATATATGAAGATAACATCAGGGTACTCTCAACAAATAGGCGAAGACGAGAGTTGAATATGTAGAGTCGAAAATAATATAAATTAGATTATATCCATCAGGTGAAGAATCAGCACGAGAATAATTTTTCCATAATACAATAGTTTTCCTAAATAAGGGCACCAAAAATAATAATTTTCAAATAAATGGCGTTTACAAAGAAACCATTTTTTAATATAAACGATCAAACGATTCACTGATTTCACAGCACAAATTTTAATTAAAAGTGTTTTCTTCTTCTTTTTGTCGGATGGCAATACAAATATTTTCCGCTCAATCAAATCACTTATTGCAGATTTTTTATTTCCAAAGACATTTCGTTACCTAAGAAGGGGAAATAATTAAAGCAAAACAGAAGTTAATGATATCAATATGAAAATTTAATTAATTTTAACAGTAATCTGTGAAATATTTCAACAATTCCTTACGCATTTTTTCTCAACCCACACACAAATAACGCTCTCTCACAACTTGTCCATCACTTTCTCTCACCATGAAACCGTGAATTCCGCACAAAACAAATTCCATGAATATTTAATTGCAATAAATCATTTCGAAATCACTTCTAAATCACTTAAATGGATTAACTCAATGCCATCGAATCAACAGCGCTTACCTGCCACGGGCACCGTATCAATGACGGCCTGTCCTCGCAGTGAAGCCTCGCGCGCCACGCTACACCCGGCATTGGCAGCTAACGGTATTTTAGCTGGCGCGGCTGGCGCCACGATGAATATGAGCAGAGCTAATGCAAACAAATGCCGCAAGGAGAATGCAACCTTGGTGAACATTTTGGTTGCTGTAAGCTGGAAAAAGAGGAAATAAAGACGATAGGTGAGCATTTTTTAATTTTAAGTGGATCATTTAGCAATAAGCTGATTTGTGGAACTAAGCATTTAATAATGACATCCAAATGATAAAATAATTTGCTCATAAGTGGCCAAAATGTGTTGATTGAAATTTCATATTAAAATATAATACATAACTAAAAGTATGTGTTTGTTACACCAAATTAATTACTAATATAATTTAAAGCTACTTCTGAGCTTTGATTGCATTTTTCAATTAAGTTTTGTAATAATTGAAGGCAAAAACATTTCTTTTGTAATTATTACTACTGAAAAAACTGAGCAGCATAGCAACAGGGTGCCAAGCATTGAGCTGCTGGTCGTTCGCATTATCCTCGACAGTTAAAGTGGCGTGTACAAGTGCTACTCGGCAGAAATTACAGCTAATCGAACGAGCTGACTGGCATTGTTATGCCAACAACAATCACTGCCTGCCAATAACAGTGTTCGCAACGTGAAAATTGCTAGCAAAGGTAGCAGCCAAGGGATGTTCTACGTAAACTCAATTTTTGAGCTGAGCATTTGTTCTCGTGCAATAAAAGCATTCGTTTCTTAAGCAATCAACGGAGTCGAAACGTCAATGCAACTTGATTTGCTTTCACTAAAATGATTTTAAGGATTAAATGCTTGTTGCTACCTTACGGCCGTTGTTGTTGCTAGTTTTCTTATTGTTAGTAGGTGCAATGCAACATTGTACACAATTTGAAAACTGTGAAATCGCTCGGATTAAATTTAATGGGTGAAGGTACGGAAAACGTAAGCCATTGCGTAAAGCTGGCATTCTCTATAAATGGCATGGTGGTCCCGGAATAATTCTTAAAAATAAAATATTTGTAACGATTAAAATAAAATCCACAGAAAGAGAAGGAGTGCATGCATTTAAATTAGGTCGCAGACAAAGTTTGATTAAATTTTGCTCAATCAATTCAATCCGAACTATGGAGAGCTCTGTTACTGAGAATTCTGCTCTTTTCTACAAAAAAGCACGAAAATCGCATAAAATATCCCTCCAAACTACTCTCAATTAAAAGTTACCAATTACAGTACTTTAAAATATACGGATGCTTCTATGACAGTAAAATTCTCATAATTCAACAAATGCGATTTTTCCACGTTCTATCCCTTATTATCTACTAGTTATGTTCAGAAATTCCATAAATGTATTTGGCAATTGCTGTTTATAATTTAATGAATACCGAAGCAGTTTACAAGCATTTCGCAGCAAATTCTATGCATGCCAAATGGCATCGCCGACGCAACAGAAGCCTGGTAGGAGAAGCTTGCTTACATCATATACGTATGTACATATATGTAACTATATTTATACGCAATAAATGGTTAAATCTACGAACTGAAGTAGCAAATGCAGCAACAGCAACTGCTAAAGATAAGACTGAGAGCAAAAAGAGCAATGGTATTGTTCAAGATCTCAAAATGAAGTGAAAGAATCTGAACAATTTCAAAATTCTATAATATATATTTATACAACAATAGGGAGCGTGTAGCATAAAGTTAGAAGCTTCAAATTATACAACTTATTGATTTCCAGCTAAAACAAGCAAGGAAGCGCTAAGTTCGGGTGTAACCGAATATTTCATACTCTTGCAACTTACAAAGATCAAAGCCTGGGAAATTCCTCCAGTTGTTGGCAAAACTTTATATTAATCAAACCCGTCAGCGAAAATTATAGTAAATCATCGGGAGCATAGAAATGACAAGGCTGATTGAAGTTATGATCACTTTTTAATTTCTTAAGAGCAAGCGGGAATATTTCACAACAAAAGCAAAGTTCAAAGCAGCAACACAGCCCGAAGATTTTTCAATAAATTTGATATATCTACAGATATTACAGGAATTGGAAAAGACTTAATACTCAGAGCCTTAACTTTGTTGCAAGCCATATCTTAGGGTTACAAGAATCATTCTGCAAAATTTGGGAACTACGCTTTTGAAACCGCAAAGCAATTAGTTTGAAAGTATCTTTGGTTTTATCCCCCTGCTTTCTGAAGAAACTGCAGAGGCAAGGATTAAAGATATGAAAAAGTTCCGATACAACATACACGGCAAATTTCACTCGTCTCTTCAAAGTACAGATTTAATGAACATATTTCATTTAAGCACTGATCATTTTATTACTAGGCAGTGAAACTTATTTATAACCACAAATCAATCAAATTTGTATATATATAACCCTATATAAATATACAATAGACAATTTTTGGTCACAAGGTGGCACACTTTAAACGCCTTATTCACGCAAAGTTTTTCCCCGATACAATCATTGTTGCTTGATTTGCATAGTGGAATATGAAAGAATCCGATGGAATTTAAAATGGTGTTATATGGGAAATAGACGTGGTTGTAATCCGATTTCACCTATTCTCTCACTGTCGATAGAGGTGCTAAGATCATTTGTTCCCAGTGAATTTAGTTATTATAGTTTTAGCGGTTTAGGAGATATGTACATTAAACCTATTAGGGGGCGGGACCACGCCCACTTTGAAAAAAAATTTTAACTGCAAATACCCTTCCTTCATGTGATCCTGTGTATCAAATAACAGTCTTGTGTCTTATTGTGAAGCTTATTTATTTGTTTTTGGTTAATGGCGTGTTGTGGGCGGATTTTAACTCGTCTCTTCATCCTGATCATTTATATATATATAACTCGATTAACTTTAGGTGATACAAACAACCATTGAGTGAACAAAACTATTATACTCTATAGCAACATGTTGCAAGAGTATAATAATGTTCATATAATCGAATCAAATATCCATCCGCAGAATAGTCTTAACATGGCAACCAATTATTCATTCCTATTTTTGTTATGAACAACATATTTTTCATCATCTCTCACGGTTTTTAATAAACATTGGAACCTCTTACTATAAAGGTTTATTGATAATATTAATTGTCCGAAGTAGACCATGCATGAGGGAACGAGCCTTCGATTTTATAGCAAAAATTTTCATACAAAATCGTTGCCACTTCAGCGAGCTCAGAAATATACTCAAAATTCGGAAATCTATTTAAAACTAAAAACACATACTTATGAGCGTTTATCAAATTTATTATCAATACAATCAAATTATTTTCCTTATCACAAAGTACAGAAATTTTTAAAAAATGTTTTTTACAATGCAATTACATTTTTTTCCATTACCTTTTATGTATTTTCGATTTCGTTGGTAAAAGCACTATACTTGTATCAAACCTTTAATTGTCTCGAAAGTCACTTCAAAGTATATGTAAATATTTTGATAGGTATTTAGCAGATAACTGTAAGTTATGCAATTACTTTCACCACTTTCTTATAAATCTCATGTGATTTTTGGTGGCAACACCAACAAGCTTCAACTTCACTTAACTGACTGAGTGGCCAATTCGCTTGGCGATACAAGAAAAGTAATCGCTTTCATACAACAATAACAGCAAAGTTAAGTAAATCACAGTGACAACGCAGCAATCAATGTCACACAAGGGACGCTGATAACAATTAAACGGTAATAATGAAATGATGCGATGCTTATTCATTGCACACAAACAAAAACAAACAAAATATCGGTATTTCTTATGGCCATAGGCGCGAGTTGGGGCTGACAATATGATAAGTGGAAACTCAAAAATAGCAAATAACTATAAAGAAATTAGGTTTGCTTCGAGAGAGTATATCTGTGCGGAATTTTTTGTTATCTTTAAGTTTTCATAAGGGGCTATAAATTACAAAAATACATTATTAAAATTCCTCGCCTGACCTTATAATCTGATTTTTTTCTAATAATATTTTAATTTAATTTAATTTCTGGCATATCTCCAAAATTATTTATGGAGAATACTGAAATTTGTAAGTAAGTATAGAAATGTCTAGCCAAAAAATAATATAAAAATAAGGTAAGTATGCAGTGATTTCTTTCATCGGACGTTCCAACAGAACGGATGTTCGAAAATATTTATGTTAGATACATATATGGGGGCTAAGGTAAGTATTTACCTGCTTTTACCCATTTTGGCACAAGTTATTGTGAGATTTCGACAATTTTTGGACGGAGGACAAAATATCTTGAGGGCACTATTTGTGCAAAGTTTTATTCTGATAACTCTATTGATGTTTATTTTTTATACTGTGAAGAGAAAGAATCAGATGGAATTTAAAAGTTTATTATATGGTAATTAGGCGTGGTTGTCATTCGATTTCATTCATTTCTGCAATGTTTAATAGGAATATTTGGGTAACCTCTCACACCAAATGAAATCGGTCGAGTAGTTCCAGAGGTATAGGATTTCCCTGAAAGGTGGGCGTTGCCATGCCCATCATCCAATTTTCACACCAGATCCTAAGAAGCCCTTCTCTACCATTTAGGTTGTGAAATGTATGGCTTGTGGCTCATTTATCAGTGAGTTGTAGTACTTTTAGTAGTATTCAACATAACCGTTATATGGAGAGCGGGTGTGGTTATTATTTGATTTTACCCATTTTCACAGAGCTTAAAGAGGTGATAAAATACTCCCCTCTCATCGACACATTTTCTTATAGGAGAAACGATATCGAAGGGTATGGAGCATAGGAATGCTAGCAGATTATTTTTAGAGACTTTAAAAAGACCTTCCAGAAGACAAATATTCACGAATTTAGAAATTTTTCCAAATTAAGCAGTTATTTTGTTAAAAGTAGCTGATATATGTAGCTTTTAAGAAAATATATGTGTTGCTGTCACAAGAAAACCTGATATTTCAATTTTTTTCATTCCTATATTATTGTTTAGTGGCCCTAGTACATTCAAAATTTGATGAGTTTTCATGTGACAAAAAAAGTTAAAGTTGTGTTAACCAGTATAATTAGTTATATCAAAAAGATTAGAATAAAATTCTCAAAGGGAACATGTAATCAAAATTACAGCATTTCCTTGAATAAACTATTTTCATTGTTTTAAGAAACTAAAGGGGAGCATGGCGTATGAGTGACCAGCAATGTCCTTAGCATGCAGCAAAATATTACGTATACTCACCGTAGCACATTGTCATACACAAAAAGAATTGCAAAAACTAGGGAGGACAAAGGAAAACGACAGCAATTAATACCTCACTAATTGATTGAAGTAAAAATTCAAATCGAAACTAAATAAAAAAAAAATATTGAAATTTTCAAATAAAATATATAAATTATTTATAAAAATGTATAATTGTTCCATGTATTAGTATGCACTAAAGACAGGCAATTTTCTTTATTTGCGAAGGTTTAGTAAATATTTTCTTACTAAATTATTATTCTTTAATTCCCTAGTGTTAAAAATTTACCTTAATAAGTACGCGGTTGAGTAAATTACTCACTTCCACCAAATGTCATATCGATTATTTCTTCAAGCTGACATTAATTGAGAAAAGTAATAAATGGCAGGCGGCAGGAGAAAACACAATCAATGTGTATTCATATATTATGTGGTCTGTGCGGTCACCCAATTCGTGGTAAAAACCAGAGAGATAACCACAATGTTTGAATGTATACATATAATATAATATATATTTTCATACATACATATGCATATAATTTGGGTGACCGCATAGACTATAGGCAATAGAGACTCATTTAAGGACTTAAGCCGCCTCGGTGAGCAGCGTTCAAATGTTTATGTGTGTATATATATGTTTATATAGTAATTATACAAATAGTCCACCAAAAAGGCTGGGAATAACTAATTGCACATTAACGCTCAGTTCAAAAGATGCGAGGCATATAGGTACATATAACACATATACATTTACATTCTATGTAATTGCCCTTAATTTATTATTAAAGACATTTTAGCGGAAAATAAAATCAATATTAAAATCAAATCCAAAAATATTAATTTCATTTAATTGTAATTTTATATAGAAAATAAAATAAAGGAACTGCTCCTGTTATTTATGAATTTTTTTTTGGTTTTTTACGAATTTGATAAATAAAAATATAAATATAGTTAGTAACAGTCGTCTTAAGTTATTTATGGATAAAATAAGTTCATAAAACATCTACTGGAATATTTTTCTCATAATTGAAACTCAGAAAAATGTCATTAATAGCCCTTTTTGTAGCTAAAAAATTACTCAGCAACTAATGACTTTAACTCAACCTTTATGAGTTTTGAAATACACTAATTAATAGCCAAACCGTTTTATTCTCTAAAATCTCCAACTTGCATTTCCTACTTTCGAAATTATACCCACAAATGGCGTTAATTAAAATATATCAATAGAAAAAAACTAAAGCACAGGAAATTACACAATCGCTGCATTGCATTTCACTAGGAAATTAGCCGAGCCAACAACCATTTGCGTTCACAACCAACTTCAGCGCGCACACAGTTCAATGGCCGAACGGAAGCGCATAATGGATTCCCCACTGACAGTGCCATAACAGTTGGAGCGCAAGCCATAAAGCCAATGATAAAGCAAATAATGTCGACTAAGCAGTTCGCGGTCGGCAATTGCGCCAGCACTGAGCTGTCACTTTGACGCAGTGCTAGTTCAGTACCCCATCGAAAAACGAAGTGTTCTGTGAATTCCAAAGCATAAGACACACAAAAATACATAAGAAATCAAGAAAATACGACATAAGTGACGAGAGAAGAGCAAAAATGAAAAGATGGAAAATAACGCAACAGCAGTTAGCTAAGAAATTCTAAAGAATTTCCACCACGATCCGCAGTGAATATGAAAATTTGTGAATTATAGAAAATAGAGTTCTGGCCAGCGAGCATTTAGAAGTGCCTATATAGGTAATTCGGTGAAAACGAAGTCGACCAAATAAGTAGCAGTAGCACACGAAGAAGAACAAGAGCAAATAGAACAGGAGACCAAGTGAAGTGAAGTGAAACAAAGTGAGAACCAGAAAAAAATAATAAAAGAAAATAAATAGGTATATGAAATATCTAAAATATAAAAACGCAAGCGAAACTAATTTCCAAAGTTTCCAACTCAACTATTTACAGTTAAATGAGTTATAATCGACGGCGAGGCGAACGTTGCCAAATGCGTTTGGGGCAAATATGTTTTGGGGGCTCGCAACACAATAACAACAACAACAGCGAATAACTGCAGTGGTCGTAAAGTTATTACATTGAACGGCAAACGAGGGAACAGGGAGGGATCGAGTGTGGTGATAGGTGGATAATAGGCGATAGAGGAAGCACAGCCGCAGTGCCAGCAGCAGAAAACGTCGACAGCCGTTTTTGCTCGAGAAAAGTGCCGTATGCCTGCATATGTGGATGTGCATTCTTCATTACACACACATACACATGCGCGTAGCTTTGTGTGGCTGCGCATATGTTTGCATTGTTGTACGTGTGAGGAATGCAAGAACAATTACATTCACAGTCAACTACAACAACAAATCAGCCAGCAAGTAGCTGCAACCAAATCAAGCATGAATTGTTGGCACAGGCCATAGCCATCCGCAGCAATAGCCGCGAGCCAAAAACAAAAACTCAAACTCGATGGGCGAAAGCAGTCAACAACACCTTAAACACATGCTATGCATGCTGTTGTACTGTGTTGTGCGAACGGCGAAAACGGGGTCGCCACACCGTTTAGCATTTAGACGCACTGTTGCTCAAACGCTCGACCAAAACGCTCGCCCAGTATGTTAGGCGGGTCGGGCCGACCGTGTGGAGTGATCGGCCGGTCGAGCAGTGGCTGGCGGTGTCGCTCCGATGGTCTGCGCCATTGCGCGCTGTTATTTTTATAAATAACGCAACTGCAAGAACAGCAACAACAAAAGAAACAATCATAAAACCGAACGCATCGCACTCGTGTTTGCTGTATTTGTTGCGTCTTTCGTCTTCATTCTTTCCTTTTTTGTTATTATTACCGTTGCTGCCGTTGCTGTTGTTGTTGTCATTACGCCGCCACAGTCGCCACAGCCAGCACTGTTGCTGCCAATAAGTTGCTGTGTTGTTGTTGTTGTACATTTTTAAATATGAAAGTGCAGTCTTCTGGCGCAACGCAATAAACAGCGACCTACTGGCGAGCGAGCACTCGAACGCACAGACAAACGATTGGCGTCAATGTCTGCGCTAGCGTCGACGTCGCCGATCACAATTGCATTTAAAACCGCGACTGCGTGTGTGTTGACGTCGCTTACGTCGGTATAAAAATTCGGTATTGGAGCAAGAAGTGCAGTGTCTTCTTTTCCTCCTCCCCGCCTACTTCTTCTTCCTCCACTTCATTGCAGTGTGCACGAAGCAACGCATCGCTGTAGGTATTTTGTTGCGTGACGAGCCGACAGCTTCGTCGACGGTGGCGTCGTCATCGTCGGCACTGTGGCAGAAGGAGGTCACAGGAGCTTTCGGATACGAAAGTGTTCATGAGGCTCGGCGTAAGAAGACCATTTCAAAATCATATAAAATTTAGAAATGCGCTGTAAAGACTACACATGCACACACACAAATACGCTCTCATAATGAAGGAGTATGTTTTAGTTATTGTAATGCTTCGTGCAGGTACAAAGTAACAAAAAGAGTGTAAAACAGAATTCGAAAATGTACAATTGTTGCTATTACAGGTAAACTGGTAAACAAAGCAGTGATTGTAGCGAAACAAAAGCAACGGAGAAATACAAAAGTGCGCAAAAGCAACATAAATAAATAAATAACACAGAAGAGTGTAAAACGGCAAAGCGCAAAACATTTTAAGCTACACAAATGAGCATATGTAAATAAAAATCACGAAAGAACAATTAAAGTTACTACAAAAGGGTGAACAATTTTAATAAAAAAGCGCGATAATTAAATTCTAATAAGTATACTGTACAAATAATTCAAAAAATACAAAAATAAAAATATAATATAGAAAAATAAAAGTATTCAAGAAAAAAAGTAAATATTGAGAAAGAACTTAACAAAATTTAAACAAATATTTAAAAAAATAATAAATTTCGGGTTTATGTTAGTAAAACATCAGTCAATTCGGTTATGTGTGATTAAAAACAAAAAAGAAAACTATATATTTACATAAAAAAATCATAAACAAATCTTAGAGTTATCAGAAAAATACCACATTAATACTTAGCAATATTAAATACAAAATTCAAAATATTTATTTATTGTATATTGCAGTTTGTGTTTTATGATAATTGTTTCTATAAGTGTTAAAGGGTTTAAGTTTTCATCAAAAAATCAGCGCGAAAGTGAGTTTAAAGAGATATCGAAATTAATTTATTTTATTTAATTATAAAAAGCAGGTTTGACAACAAAAGCGCAGACATCATCACCGACCAATGCGCATGAGAATTCAAGTGAAAAATGTCTTTGCGGTTGCTGCGTATGAAATGATTAAAGCAAACACTTATATTAAGCAAAAAATACTTGGAAGATTATGAATAAACGATTTAAAACTAAACAACAAATTACCGCTGAGTACAACAATTGCTATTATAAGCTATTATAAGTGAAGAATCACAAATAAAATCAAACAACTACTTATAAACACACATACCAACAAATAACCGTATACAACAAACAAGTGAACACGTCACCGTGAAGCGCAAAAAAATACAACAACTTGTGAATAACAAGAATAGCGCAGCAGCAGCATAAATAGTAACAACTAAAACAATAATAATAATCAACAAGCAGTTCGAATAAATAATATAAAAAAAATAGAATACCAAAAAAAAATAGCAGAAAACAATCTTGTTTTATCAGACGCTATATACCGCACCGCGCCTCCCGAGCGTCCTCAAACCGCGTGCCGCGCTAAACGCTAAATACCGCATTGAAAAACACCAGTATCTAACAGCGCGCACACACACACACGTGCATACAAATCGCAATAGCTAACACCAACACCAGCCCTAGAGCACAGCGCGCTTCAGCGCATCGATTATCAACGCTGCGACACCTCGCGCCGCGCCGCGCTTCGTGTGGTTGTCACCCATTCGGCGTCGTATCGTGTTGTCGCTTAACATTTGATTCCTATATTTAATAAAAACATTATTGCTTGCGCCTAGGTTTGTTTTATTTCTTAACTGTGTACGTGTGTTTTCACACACACACTCGCCGCATTTTTTGCACGTTTTGCCTTTTGATGCCGTTCGTGTCGCCAAGCGTTTGTGTGGAAAAAAGCGCGCGCGCCAATTTGTAAAAACACTTTTTGAAAATAAAAGACGGTAAAGAAGAAGAGCACACAACGGAATTTCAATATTTACTACCAGCATAAAACACACTTATCGTAGCAGCAGTTGTCATCGCTGTAAACGTAACACTTCTAAGAATATTTATATTTAAAGTGTACCAGTGCTTTTGAAGTCGAAGGCTTCCATGTAAGTATTTTTGTGTGACTATTCGTTAGCATATTAACAGCTTTAGCAGCCATCATCCCGCATCTTGCTTTTTCACCCACGCATCATTAATTTTAATAGCCAAATGTCTAATTTGTTAGCTGTTCTTAGTGAAATGTGTTTTCCTAATTGCTCAGTACAGCTGTCAATCGTTTTATGACTCAGTCACCCCGCGGATATTATTTCAGAAAACGTGTTCTACAATTCCAGGCGTATGCCATAGAGCAGCATTTTTTATTTTGCTTGAAAACTGTTTAGCCTTGGGATGTACTAATAATCTAAGTCAACAAACAGGAAAAAATAAGAGAAAATCAAAATCGATGAAAAAATACAAAAACTTGTAAATCGGAGAAAGAGTGCTATTATTATGAAACGCTGCATCAGGTTGATAAAGCTCAGCTAAATACGGAAATTACGGAGAAATTCTTCTTCTCCTCCACTCATCTTTCAATATTTCTTTAAAACTGGTCTGTAAGAAGCAACGGAGGGTGAAAAAATTATTCGCTCAGAAACCCAAACAGCATTCTTGGTATTAACAAGAATATTCATAACGCCAAAACATTTAGAAAATGCGAAACAAACGCTGAGTTTGGCGTTGTATCAGTCGAAATGTCTCTCTAGTTTGTATTTTCTTCCATTTTTTTTGTATGGATCCCTTATTCTAAAATTTTCACGCGAAAAGATCTAACATATATTTTCAAGTAGTAGTAGAATAAGTGTTTTCTAGAGCGAGAGTTCTTATTTGGCCCTAACGGAAATTGTTCAGCAGCTACAAAAACCTCGTACTAATCATGATACCGTTATTCATCAAGAAAAAACGCATGTGTCATACAAGTAAAAATTGGGATAAAGCTCCCATCGAAAGTAGTCGGTTGATATTTTTTTCTAAATCTTGTATATTATGGGATTAATTGCTTTAATAATAAAGATATTTTTAAAATTAACGCTATCGCGTGAGCTCTTTTCTCCGACACTGCTACAATAACAAACCACAAAGCCAACAAAATATAAAAAAAATTACATATTATTAACGGGAAAAATTTTTGGGAATTATTGTTGGCAACATTTAGTTACATACTGTTATGAACTTCGTGGTTTTGTGTCAATTCCCACTTCTGAAAATCGTATCACGATTAAATGGCGTTACTCAGGGGAATATTAGTGCGGGAATTCTATACCTCTATAACCTCTGATAGATTGCATTACTCATGAAAGTTCCTCATTTTTACAACAATTGTACTTTTGATTAGAATTTATAACTTTATTCTTTTGAAATGCAATAAAATACAAACTAACCACACGAAAATGGAAATTGTGCTTTTCATCGCTTCAAAGCAGTTTTACTAATTGAAATTCTATGATAAAGATATATCCGTTATAAATTATATGTACCGGGTGGTCCATATGGTGATATATACTGTAAGACTTGTCTGAAAATATATCGTATCCGCGGTAATAAATTAATCGCTTTACGCTTCAACATTTTCAAAAGATTTTTCTTGAAAAATCAGTTTTCAGACGAAAAACATTTAGCGAGATGTTATTAGCGAAGGAAAGTACTGAGATGCACCTCAGAACCGTTATAGATTTGCGTGGGTTTCCAAACGGAAACGATATATTTCCGCATAATATGAAGCTATTAGAGTGTTTATTATTTGGACCGACGTGATACCCATTAATAGTATTTCCGATTGTAAGTAAACCTGAAAAAATTTTATGAAGTCTGCCGAGGATATACCCCATTTAAAATTACAGATTTAAAGTGGTGTAAATTTATTCTTTATAACCTGAATAGTTTATATAAAGTTTGCCATGAAGTTTTTGATACCCAGAAGGTAACGTAAAGTCTCAGCGTGATGACCTGATTCGATTTAGCCATGACCATCTGTTTATACGTGAACTAGTAACTCTGTTTTTGAGATATCGATCTGAAATTTTGGACATGTCCACTCCTCCCTAAGAACCTGCCCATTTGTCACAACTGGCGATATTGCACCACTATAGCATATAGCTGCCATACAAATTAATGGATCAAAATGAAGATAACAATCTTTTTATACCCTTTTGTGCTAAAAGATATGCACCTGTGTAGAGAGTTATAGCTTCAGTATTAAATACAAGTGAAACAACCATATGTACCAGCTTGTTTGTATTGATATACTTAAATAGATGTTTATTTGTTTAATCAGCAAAAGTCATTTTACAACAACAAAATTTGCAAAATTTCTACTTATTTTATACTTATGATTTCTTACATGCCGTTCGCCGTCCACAAACCGCCTACCGCCTTCACCCTTTCTCTTTTCATTATCAAGTCAGCACGAGTGAGTGAGTTCGCGAAGAGTTCAGCGCTTATTTTTACCCAAATCCATCTATCAAAATGTAAGCCTATCTAAATTTAGCAAACTAGCTTGTGGCAGAAACTAAAATTGGCTTCTCGCTGATTTGTTTATCGCGCCCAGACGAAGGCCTTAACTCCGCGCACACACACTTGCATGTCTGCCTGCATGTACATATAGCGCAAGAGCATTAGAAAAATCGTACTGCGAGCGTAGCGCTGCTCACGCCCGTCGTTGATCTTTCGACAAAGTGTTGAATCGCGTTCGCGCGCCATTTCGTGTTTATTTAAATGAAATTACTTTGACTCTGATACCGCTGTTATTGTTTTCATTGTTGTTGTCATTGCTGCATTAACTGTTTTGTTTTTTCGAAGTGTGTCGTTGTTGTTGTTACAGTTGTTTTCTATTTGCTATTTGACTGCCCTCACCAACAACAACAGCTTCGGCTGCAAATAAAAATTAATGAATTAAAACGACCTAAGTGCTACAAGTATTCCGAATTAAGAACACTGCGGAGCACCATTTGTGGTTTCAAAAGTTTTTAACTTCATGTCATTTTCATGATGCAGAGTGAAAATAAAGAAAATCCGGGATAACCACGCCTACTTGCCTTACAATAGTAATGTTCGATAATACTTTAAGCACCACAAATTTAAATAACAACTTTAAACCTTACGGTTTGTATGTACAGTATTGTTAGGGGATGTGTGCCGCAGTACCGCCTCCTTTTAAGAGAAATCTCACATCCCAGCCATATGTATACTATGATTTTCCCTGATTAATTTAAACCAAATATGTTGGTTTATGAGGAGGCACTTAGCACAACACGCTTTGTTACTAAAAATTTGTCGAATGCGTTTATATACTCCTCTCCTCTAGCACCCATATATCCAGTATAAGGATTTCCATCCCAGAGGTTGACTTTATACCATACATATTGATTAGAACGGAACATATCACATTATCCTAAATTTTTCTTAGCGCATTGTGATTGTAAAATATCGATCTATATGTTCTTTCTACCATGCAATCTGTTCAAAATACCACCCAATACCTAATTGAGGCACTATATAGTCTTCGACAGCACCCGAGCTTCAAGTATCTTACTTGGTTTATTTGTGTTTGATTTTTTTCTTTAGTGCCTGCACTTTGGAATGGTAGTTCAAAACAAGTGAGCCGCAAAGTCTTTGAATTTCTTAACAGCTTAATTCAGTGACGTCAAACGTCTTCCTCTTCTTCCTATGCTTCTTGAATGGTATCCGATATTTGGCCGTGCTGTGGGTAGCGAAGTGTGTCTTCTAATATTTTTGGCTTAAATAACTTTCGTTTAGCAACCATAGTTTAGTAAGTCTTACCAGATTAGAATTGGAATTGTAATTCAAAATGTTGGAAAGGAAGAAGAATGCTTAGAAATTTTATCATTCTTATAATAAAAGTTCGAGGTTGGAAGCAAAATTCTTTAACAATGTGATAGATAATAACTGTTGTCCAAAGCGACTAAATTTAATTAATGTATATAATTATAGACAATATACTACCCATCGCATATAATCTTTAAAGGGGCTCGCTCCCTAAACCTTAAGTTTGTTTGCTTCGAAAAACCACAAAATTGGTAACAAATGTTACATTTCATACTTGTATGGTACAACTTTTAATATTCTTAACTTCCTTATAATTCATGCAACGGCAACTCCACTAAAGGTGTCTAACAGAGACCTTGACAATAATTACACCAAAAGAACGATCATTTCGAGACTGTATTAAACCCGCATCTTTCGAATTTCCACTTCATAAAGAGCGAGGACTATAAAGGGCTCAGCAACTCTTTTAATAAAATAAAAGAAAAACGAAGTCGAGTTTCTTCTATGAAAAATTTTCCTTTTAAAATACAACAGACCTTCGAATATGGCTTCAAGCTTACAATTTATTTGAACACTATAATAATGCTAATAACTCGAAACTAAATCTTGAAATAAGCTTATAATGCATTTAAAATAAGATTTGAAGCAGCTAATACCCCTTATGCGAGTAAATATCTGTACATACTCCAATACAACACATATGTATACATAGTCGAATATAATGCGCCTCATAGTTTTCATCCATATGAATACTCCAGTAGGCGAGTGATAAGATCAAGTTTAGACAACAGAGCCGGGAAACCATTTCACCGCCTACATATGTATATCTATATATTCATACATTTCCCTCCAAAAATACGCATTTACTTTAATTAATTGTTTCATTTGACTCATCTCCCTTATTTGTGGTGCGGTTTATCAAAGTGAGTCGACATTATAACAGTAAAACTTTGTACAGATAATAAGTATGTATACAAATACACACACGTTTGTACAGTTATAACAATACCAGTATGTTTGTATGTATGCGCCATTGTATTACTGCACATCTGAGGCAAAAATAATGTACTTAACGCCGATTTGTCGAAATAATTAGAAGTAAAAGGACCACGATTATGATTTTGGCTATAAAACAAACGATTTTTTATGCAATGGGTATTTATTTAATTAAATAGTAAAGCAATTAAGAAAAGTCAGGGCGAGGCTTTGTAACGAAAAGTCTTGTGACCACCCACTGTAGAGGAACACCACAGATACTTACCACCAAAATTGAGATATATATTATTAAGTTATACTGATGCGAGGCAATTGGACTACTACGTCTTTCAGTAAAGCTTATTAGAAAGTCTTCACACCCGATCTTTCACAAAAGATTGCTCGGAAATGAAAGAACACGTTCGATCGCTATAACAATCCCACTGAAATTGGTTTGGAAGGATGAAAGAATTCATAGATGAAATAATTCCAAAGTTATCTTTGAGTACAGCGAATTAAGAGACAGCGCTTAGTTAGGAACTTTTTACATTTCGCATTTAACTGTCACAGCTTCCCAAACACTTTTAATTAGGAATACAGCCTCAGTGCAAAATCTTATCAATTCAGTGATAAAAGCTGCGAAAAGATTAATCTTGTATCAAAGCACTACGCAAACACAGCGCACATTTCACAAAATGTTTGAGCTTCACATACTTGTATATACCCTCGCATACATAAACATAAATATAAATGTGTGTATATTAAGCAAAGCAACTGTTCCGCTCTCAAACCGCAGCCGACTTGTCTGCCACACAGCAAACGAAGAAATTATATGTGTATACTAAAATAAAATCCAAAAAAATCAATCAGAAATCTATCTATGCGTTTACCTACATAGTATTATACTTGTATATATGTATATGTATATATAATATATAAGAAAATATGTAAATATTGTAGCAACAAGAATGTAGAGACAACACTTGCGCTGCCTGAATTTCCCAGCAACGCGAAATATTTTCGGCATTTATGCGCCGCGCTGCCAGCTAAATCGCTCGAAGGCGGCGAAAGTGCCGCAGTCACACATCCGCAGCCATTGGCAGAGTCAGAACTCGAGCCAGCGCAAAGCGTTTGGTCGTATGTGCGTAGAGCAAATGCATTGGCATTGTGGGAGTTGCACCTCAAACGGCAAATGTGTGCCAAATCAGTGCAGGCGAAAATTCCATTCAACAGATCTAGAAATATGCATGTATATGTGTATTTATTTTTCTTACTTTGAATTTCTGTGTGTGTGTGTGTGTGTGTGTGTGTAGCACATACTTAGAATTTTGAAGATGTGCACAAATCTAAATATAGTTGCACAGGGTTGACTAACCTTTTGTGTGTAAATTCTATGTGCTTACTAACGCACGTACATACATGCATACATAGCTATCTATACATCTTTGAAATTTGAAGTTGAGAAATAAGCAATCGAATGATTGATATTTTTTTTTTGTTATTTTGCATTTATGTATCTAAAAACATTTGCTGTGTGGGGGAGTTTCGAGGTTATACTTTCATTCTTAAAAATCTGAAAATCAACACAATTCATTCATTCATTATTTTTACTCAATGGCAAATGAAATGAATTGCGAAGAACTCGAAAGTTGAACATGAGTGAGATCATAACATCATAACTCGTAAGCGTAAATTATTGAATTATTATGCTTTTGGAGGGCATACACCAAAGATCCATTTGGTATATAGTATATAATTCAATTAATTATAATTCTCCAACAAACACTCACAGCACTAAAGTAAACAAACCAAAAGTGGGCATGGTCATTGTCTGAATTTTTCTGTTTTCAATCGGGTATCTCTATGAAAACCCCTGGCATTTCCTAGCGGAGAGAAATATAAAATTTATTATTTCCTTACTTTGAAAAGAAAGTACTTAGAAAATGAAGAACTGTGACCTAACTGACTCAAATTGTCCGAATCGCTTGGTACACGGATTTACTGAAGTTCTTATTCGATCAAATCCAAAAAAAATATATCACACAGTGCGAAATTGAAAAAATGTTTTTTTTTTTAATATTACGATAGGTTATACCTAGAAAAACAATATACTAGAATTTTAAAGCGACATGCAAATAGTTGTTGAGCCACAGACTCTAAAAGTGCATCTGCTCAGTTCAGTCAGATCTATAAGTTTATCTGAAACCGCCTTTTTCTCAAAACAAAATTGTTCAAATTTATTTAAGTGATTATTCGGATGGATTCGGAGTGAACCGGTCACTATAAAATAGTTTTTCTGCATATTCTGTATAAAGTTCTCCATGATCTACCTGATGTGGTCAAAAACAATCAAATTTTGTGTAAATCAAATTTTTTTTGATGCGGCCGTCGACCATTGTACAGATAATATCTTCTAGTAGAGAATTTTTATTAGGTTTTATCTTTGGAGAAGAAATATAGCGTATATTACGAAAAATATTTTTCTTCAAAAATTTTACTGTGTATTCCGAAAGTATGTGTAAATTTATCCTTAAAATTTTTGAATAATTGCGTCGTTTTTTTTAATTCTCAAAAAATTTGGAATTTAGTTCGATGATACCGAAGCGCTTTAATTTTTCCAACATACGCATTATATATACAAGTATGCCTTGCAAAAAATTCGTGGCTCCAACGAATATTTTAAATAAAAACGCAATTTAATTAAAACACGCATATATTCTTTGCCTTCTTTGTCACAAAATAGTCACATAGAATATATTATATATATTAACCAAAAATAGTCACCATAATAGCATTACGGGGGCTGAGGCATCACCAGCAGTTGCTAGCTCAAACTACCGCCCTCTCTCCGCAATCCTTTTACAGACACAGAAAATTCATTATAAGCATTGTAACCTATTAAAATATTAAGATTCTTTACACGTCACAACCATATTTGGTTTAATTGTCGCTGCGCTTCCACATTTTATTCACCGCTTGCATTACTCATTTCACTCTTGCCTCCATCCCCATATTCACGAAAAACTTTTGCATTCTTTGTCTAATATTATTTGTTGTCGTTTTCTCTCTTTTATCTTTATCAACACTCTTCGCAATAATAACGACGAATATAAAAAATTTATTAAACAATGGATATGCAAATCAAACCACAACAACACCAATGAAAACAATAATCATATTCATATGGATGTTTGGTGAAAATTTGTGCTGCCGCCAACGCCGCATACACTTGACGACGCCCCCGCACGCAACTCCCGTCGACACACCAATAAACCTTCGATATTCGTGGATTCTCCGCTTTGCTTGCTTCGCATTGACTCTACGCATGGTTGCGTTACGTATACTGAACCGTTTGTTCGTTTTTGTTATCAATGCATCGGTTGTTGTCGTTCGGTACGGATGTGCTTTCGCGGCGTCGTCGCTCGGTCATTGTTTGCCTGCTGTCCCCGAAACAAAACAACTTCGACCAACGTTATGCCGGCTTCTACACGTCTGGTATTGACGTTTTCTCAAGCAGTACAACAGCGCAGACAAATAGACGCAATCCAGTAGAGGGACGCGGCACACGACAAACGCACGCGTTTGTCCCATAGCGGTAACGACAACAACAAAAACAGCAGCAGCAGAAACAATATTCACCGAGCTAACACAGACAGAAGAGCCAACGACGACGACAAATCAGCAGCGAGCGAAGAACTGAAATCATGGCAAATCCGCGCAAATTTAGTGAGAAAATCGCATTACAGATACAGCGCCAGAAAGAAGGCACCGCTGAGTTCGAGCGTATTATGAAAGAGGTTTACGCAACTAAAATGGATGAGACTCAAGCGAATGAGAAGATATTGGAATGCTGTCTGGTGAACACTGACATCGGCAGCAATCACGCCACAAATGCCAGTTTGGTAAGCGGCGCTGGTATAGGAGGAGGCGGTAGTGGCGGCGGAGGTGGAGGAGGCGGTGTGGTTAACACTGCGGATGGCGGTGGTGCCGGCAATAGTGCCGGCGCAGCAAATACCACCAACAGTGGCAGCGGTGGCACCTCCCCCGACGGCACACATAATAATAATTCTCGTGAGTCACGTGGTCGCAGCGTTGGAGTCGGACCGATGCGACGTCCCTCCGAGCGCAAACAAGATCGTTCACCATATGGCAGCAGCGCTGCCGTCGCAACCGGCATGAATGCGGGCATGACCAACAACGCATATCTTAGTCCGCCGATGGATAGCAGTTGGCGTCGTTCCAACTCTGACTCGGCACTTCATCAGACGCTGAATATGGCAGTAGCGGCAGAGGGTGGTTTCGGGACGAGCGGTGCCATGAGCGGTATGGGGGATATGAATGCGCTGCACGCCAATTACCAGCATCACAATCAACGATCTCATTCGCCAAATATTGGTCGCAGCTTTAGTCCACAAGCACAAAGACGAAAAGGTCAGATGCTACATCATCAGCAACAGCAGCAGCAACAACAGATCCTACACCATAGTCAGCAGCATCTGCACTTGCAACAGCAACATCAACAGCTACAGCAACACTTTCAGCAGCATCAGCAACAACAGCATATGCATCAACAACAAGCACAACAACAGCATGTCCAGCAGCATCATGCGCAACAGCCAGCGAGTAGCATTAGCCAACAGCAACATCAGCAACAATTCAATGCCAAATACACCAACTGCAATATGCCAATAAATAGTCTATTCAAATCGCTGCAAGAGCAAACACTGGCGCTAGCCAATACCGGTTCGTTGCCGGACCTAACGTCATTGCATTACTCGCCCGCACAGCAACAACTAATGCACCAGCAGCAGCAGCAACAGCAAACGCTTTCACCCATCTTGTCACCGCACAACAATGGTCGCGAGCGCGATCAGTCTTCAAGTCCCTTTAGTCCGGCTGGAGGTAATGGCAATGGCGTCGGTGGTGGTCCACCGTCGCCATATCAGCAGCAGCAGCACTCGCCTACGTCAGCCGCTAACACACCCACAGCAGCACAAACATCGCCGCATTTATCATTCACAAATCTCGCCGTTCAGTCGCCGACCGGCAACGGCTCCAATACACAAAACACCGCACAAACCGGTACATTCACCAACCTGCCTACCCTGGGCGCCGCCAGTTCGACGGGAAATCTCACCGAATATCGGCAGCCATTAAATCCACCCAGTCCGGGCTCCTCACCCGGCTTACTAACGTCCGCCTCAGGCAATGATGTGGTACATATTAGCGCGCCAGCCAGTCCAATTCGACATCCGCAGGCCGGCATGATCGGATCCAGTATGCAGGCCTACAATGAGAAGAATATGCAGGCCTTCGATCGTTACTCACCTGCATTAGCTGGAGCTGCGCCAGAAAACGCTGGCTTCAACAGCCTTAACTCGTCGTTCCATAATCACTTTGAGCAATTCACGCTAGGTGACAGCAATTCCTCACCCGAGCAGCAACAGCAGTTGCAGCAACACTTTCAGCAGCAACGCCAACAACAACAGCAACAGAATAACTTTACTTCATTAGATTTCGATGTCTTCGTCAGTGGTGGCAACGACTCGCCTTATTCGCAGTCCCTAACACAAAGCAAACAATTGGACTTTAGTGATCTGACGGGTGAGTCCAGCTCTGCGGCGACGACGACGACGCAAAGTAGTAGAGGTGGCACGTGTAACACTAACAACGGCGGTAACACCAGCAATAACAACAACACACACCAAGGGACACGCATACTCCCACATCAAATGCTGAACAATAATGGTGGCGGTGCTGGCAACACCGCAAACAGTAACGCCACAACAAACGGTCCCTGTCGCATCAGCAACAACAATGTGAATCTGACGCAAGCGAATGAAGTAAACTCTTCACCCATACCCTCACCGTTGGGCTGCCTTCCGTCACCGTCTTCACCATTACCGATTCCTATAAATGCGCAATCACCGCATCATCAGCAGCAACAATTATCGTTATCGCTGCACTCGCATTCAACACAACCATCACCGCATCATTCGCCCCTGCATTCGCCGCACCACGCCTCCCCACTGTCATCTTCCTCGCCTGGCATTACTACGCTGACGGGTGTTACTACGCCACATGTTGGTGGCAACGGCACAAATAATGCGTCCACGCATCACAACCAACTTCAGCAGACGACGCAACATCACCACCAAGCACAACAGCAGCAACATCATCAACACCACCACCATCAACAGCACCATCATCACCATCAACAGAATCACGCTAATACGCCGACCAACACAAATATACCGGCGATCATCTTCTCCGACTATTCGTCGCGTGAGATCTTCGACTCGCTCGATCTGGATTTGAGTCAAATGGACGAGACTGCGCTAGATCTGCTAGCGGATCAGAATTCGATCATGATTGCCGATCCAACCATCGAGGATAGTTTTCGCAAAGACCTTAACTGATACTATGAGGAAGCTGTTGCAGCTATTGAGAGTGGCGTACTGCTCGACGACACCTTCGATCCGCTGGGGCCCATAGTCGACGTCACTGAGGTACTGGGCAATCCGCTGGCGGATACAACAAAGTGCAAAACAGAGGACGACACAACTGACACAGCCACAAATACAACATCTACTACGACAGCAACGACAACAGCGACCACCGACGAGGACGCAAGCAACACTCTACCCATCCCCATCAACATCAGCGGCCAAGCAAATATCGAAGACGACCTGAACAATGTCGACGACAACATAAGTATCGGTCTCGGTATCGGCATTGGCTTGGGCATCGACACCGGCAGCGATGATAACAATGGTGATGTGGAGGATTTCTTCTTCTAAAGTACGTTGGTTTGAGCGACGGTGGGGCAGCACGAGGTGGGCAGGGACGCAGAGTAACACAACTCTTTTCAGCGTCGTTCAAATGAAATGACGCCGTCAGCGATTGGCTGGAATGACGCACACAGTTAAACACAAAACACGCTCAAGCCTACATACAAGCAGCCATACATAAGAATATGTAGCCAGCAGTATGTTTGTATGAGTTGGATCTGAAGTACACGCGCAAGCAACAGTGGTAGCAACAGCTTTTAAATCTCTAAGCAGTAGTTAGGACTCTTAAATGAAATATACAAACGTAAATACCTAAAAAAGAAATATATATATATATATACATACATACAAAGAAATGTTTACATACATATGTAAAGTAACAGTTATATTGGTTGCGGAGTATTTCTTGAAGACAAAGCAAGTGCAAATTGAGTTGTAGACAAAATTGAGTTACATAATTCTATTTGTTTAGCTGGGGTGGGTGATGTTTGAAGTTGAAAGTTAAGAAGTTGCTTAGAAATAGCGGAGACGGTCTATTTTTGATTGCGTGTTACATTTTTATCGCTTCTGTTGAGCTTTTTTATGTTCACTTAACGGTTTTATTAAATTATTATTTTCTTATTCCTCTTTAATATCTGCAGTATGAAGATAGAAACAGTTGGTCTTTTGGTGTTTTCGACACAAAAGTGTTTTCCCCTCTGTTTCTTCGCTTAAAAGAGCTCAAACCGAATTCAGCAAATGCCGTGAGGTCGCTGTTGACATGTGACTGTTTGGGACTTAATTAAAATTATCTGCTGAATCGTTGAAATCATCCCAGAACACTGAAGTGCACCGCAGTCAAAATCATAGTTCAACCTTCATTCTACAGTAATTAGGGGTCTGCAGCAACATTTCCTGATATAATTTTTAAAGATTACGGAAAAGTTCTTAATTTTAATTGCCACTCAAATCCGACTTACATAAAAGTTCGACATATATATCCGCGGCATTGTTTTTGTTTTCACTTCTTCCAAAACTTTCACAACTGCCATTTAAGTTTTCAAAGCTAACAGCTGTTATAATTTTCAAACTAAATTAATTGTTTCGAATTCTCTTAAGCGTTGATGCCTGTCTTATGATATGTCAGAAATATCAGCCGTCAACTTAAAGCTTTTACTAACTAATGCACTCGAAGTTTAGATGATAGAAAGTAAAATAAGTGAAGCTGTAATCATATTCTGGAATTCGAATAAAATTCAAATCTAAAGAAGGGTTCTCGCATAGAAACAAACAGGAGCACATTTGTTTTACTTTATATCTCGAGATTTCGCGGCAATATCCACCATGGAGAAAAAATTTCTTAGATCAGTTAATTCTCACTTAACAATTTGGAACGCGTATTGAGTCTGAATGTTTTAATAAATTAGTCCAAGTCTTAAACACAGAAAAACTGCGGGACAGTTTTGCATCAGTGCAACAGTAAAACACAAGAAAGCTCAGAACATCACAGGCAAAATTTCAACGAGAGAACATAGAAAGCGTTAGTTATTAATCTATAGAGCCGACTATCTAAAATCTCTCTAAAGGGCCTTAAGATAAAGTGACCAATTTACGCTCAACACCAACAAAACCGCTTTGCCACAATTAAAATTATTTTTGTTGTTTTGCTGTAAGTAAACGTCAATCAAAGCGGAAATTGTCCAGCACACACGCGTCCTTGAGCGCCCACCAAGCAGCCGCACACAACCACAAATACAAATTTACATTAATTAACTGTACTTACATGGCTAGTATAGTAGTTTTATGTATATGTGTATGCGTGTGCTTATGCTGCAGAATGTTGCAAATGCTTTCAAGCACAACAATTGGCTGTCATACGTGCGCGCCATGACAGCTGACAGCAGGCGACTGGCAAGAAAGGAAGCGTAGGCACATGAAAGAAACCGGAAACTCAATTAGTCGTGCAACTCAATTCGACCGCTCACTCATCCGGATGCTCCTGACAAGCTCCCTTAAGTGTAGTTTATGTAATAAATAATATTTTATTCTGTGCCGATTTACGTTTCCATTTTACTTTTACGACTGCAGGCGCCATGCGACACACATTTGAAGAGATGCTTCTGGTGTTTACTTCCTTTCACTCACACATACATGCATATATACAATATGATAAATGATGTACACTTACGATTACTAATAATTGTCGTTGCAACATTAATCTTCAAAATTTTATTTCATGTTCGTTTGCAGTTTCTTTTTCTACTTTATATTTGATCGTTTTCGTCATGTGAAAGCAATGCAAACGTAGTGCGTAAACGTGTAGAAATATGTGGAGTTAGTAACCGGCTATTTTTTTACTAGAAATTCACTTAAAGTGTCAAAGTGTAAATATTTTCGAATATGCAACAACAAAAAGAATTAATGGCAAAAGAATTTAACTACATATTGCACAATATTTTTGAATGAATCGAAGCTTACAAGTGAAATTGCTAATTAGCGGTAAATTATGGCATGTATATGGAGTGAATGTATAAAATTATATTAACTGGAGTATAGTATAGTATACAGTAAGTGCAATGCGGAAAATTCAAAAGAAAATATTAATAAATCTAACCTCAAAAGCGGTTAAAATAATATGACAGGCAACAACAATTCATATGCAGCATACCCAAGTATCTACAACTGTATATATACATAAATATATATAGAGTAAAGATCAGATCAAAAGTTACAATATTTACAAACTATTACATAATTACAAATCAATTTAAAACTCTCGCCGTTTAGCAAATTAACCCAAAAAAAATCCAGCACTTACAACAACAATAATCATTAGTAAAAATGTAAACATACACCCTATGCTACACACACACATATATATATATAAATATATATATTTCAAATCAGTGCACATTTCTAATTGCATAATTATAATAATTGAAGTCATTTAATTAAAGCATATTTATTGTGCCTATCTACTACTATGCTCCCCTCCGCGCTCAATTATACACATTCAAACTAAAAATACAAGAACAAAAATTAATTACAAACAAGTAATAGGAAATAACTGTGACTTGGTAGCGCCAAAGCTTTTCGTTTTAATTATACTTAATTAAGAAGAAGAAAAAATATTAAAAATTATAATAAAATAGAAATCACGGAGATTATAATATTTAAAGCAAAAGATGTTAAACTTCGTACCCATATCGCGCAAATACACACACACTTACATATATGTATGCACACACACATACATATGGAAACCTTTGTTAAGCATATATAGTCTAACATGCCGTTGCAAACAATGAAATAATTACTTTTTGCAATAATTGTTCGTATTCTACAAATGTCATATACAATACATTGCACTCGTAAGTGTTAAGTCAGTAAATTTCTTAAGTCACACACACACATGTACAGCGTGAATTCACACAAATAACTTTGAAGTGAAGTATTTTTGTTGTAATTTTCGAATTTTGTTCGTTTATTCTTCTATAAACTAGTTAATTACTTAATACAGTTCAAAGTGTAAATGTTTAAACGCTAATTTTTAGAAAATGTAATTTTTAAGCATATTTAACTACATTACTAAAGTTTGAACAACATTTGATAGCACGAAAATTTTTTCATCTTTTTTTAAAACAACATTTGTTTGCAAGAAAGAAATTAAGATTTTATTGTTAAATTTAAATTTTTTAAGTTGAGCGATATATAACAATGTGCAGAAATTTAAATTTTTTTTTGTAAAATTTCATTTTTTTTAAATTGCTATTTTTTTCTCGAAAATAAATCTTTAGGCTCACATTTTAGTGCAACTCCAACTTTGTTTTGTTTTTTCGAAATTCGTAATACTTTGAAACTCGTTGCCATTCTGTCATAAATTAGTGTCCCAGCGCATCCAAAACTGTCATAAGATTCGCAATTTCTAAAGCGTTTTCACCAAAAACTTTTCTAAAGTATTTTTTTTATTTAAAAATGTGTATTTTCTACTTAACTACAACTTTCAAATGTAAATCAAAAAATATTTGTTGAGTGTTCTAGTCGTATGTAAATATAAAAAAGTTTTAAAAATGTCTCTTCTATGTATTTAAGCTAGTCCTAAAACCAAGTGAGTTTTACAAACTTTTGTGGGATTTTTCGGTCGAAATTCATTTATTATGGCCCACTGTGCCTTTAAATTTTTATGTGAAACTATTTTTTTAATTCATTTCTATTATTTTATATATATTTACTGCTGGCATAAGTTGTTCAAACCTTAGCTTGCACCCTTTTTCTCTAAGTATAATGTAAGAACAAAATAAAAAAAACAAATCAAAAAAAATTCTTCAAATTTAAGAAAGCCTGAAGTTAATTTATGTCTAATTAATATATACATATACACATTATTATAATTATATAAAAAATTATAAGCGACTTTTAAATTTTTTTATTAATTATACAAACGAAGCAAGAAAAAACGAGTTGAGACCCCAAATCAATTGATGTACCTAGCATTAAATTAAATTTTTAATCTTAAAAAGTATAGTAATATAAATTTTGACTCACAAAAATCAAATATGTTTAATGTAAAAAAAACTAGTTATATGAGTGTAAATGTTAAATGGAAACTGATCTGTTAAATGAATAAATGAAGAATAGGGCCAATGCTGAATATATTTACATATGTCGATGGGGATGCATATATACTTGAAATAAATATGTGCGTATGTATATAATAAAAGATATATATATATATATGTATATACATATATAATAAATTTATAAAATTAAAAATAAACAAAAAAAAACTGAACTCTTTAAGAAGCAAAGTCTAAATTTATGATATAAACCCTTAAATGTAAATGTAATAACACACAGTTATTTGTTTCAAATAAATCTTTAATTATATTTAAACAAAAAATCTAAATGTAAATCGGTTGTGCTCACTACTCCTATTTTGTTGGTTTTATTTGGTAAGTTGGATGATAACAGTGAAATTGTATGTAATTAAATTTTTATTCGTTACCTATCTAAACAGGTAAGAAGATCGGCCCAGAGAAGCCTCAGTTCTAGTGAAGAAAACTGTCTATAATAGCTTGGACGTACCACATGCCACTTATTAATTATTTAAATTGTAATTATATTAATTCACGTAGTGGGCGTTATGAATTTCACTCGATCGATTTTCGGTTGCTCATACGCCACGCACACCAACCTACACTCGGGCACAAAATTGAACTAATGCCCACTTAATTTACGACAGTATTATAAAAACCAACAAAAATGCACAATAAATGCTACCACTATACAATAAGAGTAATTAACTTGCTGATATATACATACATATAGGATAATAGAGTAATTATAATTATTGGTTTTAGTTTACTTTTTTTAGGTTATGTGGCATATCTCTTACCTATAAATATATATTGAAAAGTTTTTTTTTTAGTAAATATATATGCACATATATAGCGTATTCTTTCTAGAGTTACTATTTTCGACCACCGGCTAGCAAGCAAAAATACTCTATTTGGTGAGCGCACAATCCAAAATTTACTCTCAGAGCGCCCTCGCTCTCCTAGAAAAAAGTTACTCCATGGTGAGATTGGCATGCAGAAGATATTATTTATCTAATTTTTTTTTTAACTGAATATTTGACAATATAGACGAACTATGCTGGAAATTTGTAATCCTTCATTATGATAGAAATTGAAGAGTTAGTTAGACAGATTTGAAAGAGATTTCTTAATACCTAAGAGTATGCTGATATAAAAGGCAAGAATTTTATGAGGCACCAGTTTGTGGAATAAGCTTGTCCTAAAGCCATAAGACTTTTAATGTGCTACAATATTATTATTTATAACAAAAACGACTAAAAATATATATATACATGTATATAACTGCATATATGTGTGCTGTTAAAGCCCCTTAGCGAACAAAAACGTGATTTTGCTAAATTTTGCGATTACCCCTAACCATTCGGCGGGGGGGCGTTGTTAGAAAATTAATATGTGCACACTCATACAAACGCAGCTGGGTATATGTGCAATTTGGCTTAAAAGCTATGAATATCACACAAAAGAATTGAAAATGAATAAAAAGATGTGATAGTAACAGGGAAGCGGTAAATTACCTTAACTATTGTATAAGTATTGATAGATATGGCCATATCTGTATAACAGTAAATAAGTATACTTATATGAAATATTTTATTAAATAAGCAAAAATACTAATTATATAATATATGTGTTAGAGATTTTTTGAAAATATTTTCAGCATTCCATTCAGCTCTTAATACAAGAATTTGAATGAAGCTTCAACCGAGAATTCCACACGTGTCGAAATCAGGTGCATATTAATGATATAATAAAAATGTAAGTATATAATTATATAAGCATATAAGCATATAAGTATTTATATAAAAATATTAAGTATGTTATAAATGATATACACAAGCAAGCGCGTGCTAGTAAAAATGTTCGCTGACTATTCAAAACTAGTTTGAAGAATGCTATGACACAACGTAAGAGCATCAAAGCATTGACAAAGGTTAAGCGAAATATTTAAATCTGAAATCAACACAGATTCAAGCAAATGAGCATCGTTTATCTAGTTTGTCTAGTTATATACCTAGTTATCATATACATTTAAAAGCGAGCAAACTCAAAGTTAGTGTTAAACTTCGCTCAAACCAGTTGCCAGTCGCCACGATGGCTCATTAAAATTGAAAAACAAAAGTCATGTTTATGCTCGAAACGTGGATGATGGAGGCGGAATTCGTCAATGGAAGTGGATTCTAAGAAAAACAGTTGGATATGAATTCCGTTCAGTAATATTGATTTATCACGTGTTTTTTAATGGAACTTATTCGAGACAGATAACTCAAATCAATCGCTTTCCACAAAATTTGCGCAAAAAAACCTTACACCAGCCCTCTTGATGGTGAGGCGGTCAGAAAAAAGAATCTTACTAAAGTGATACAAGGTAGATAATAATTCGATGAGTAATAGTAAGTTTGTATTTTTTGTGGCATTAAAAGGGATCAGATATCCAGATCGGACCTAATATCTCCTTTCCATTTGTTGAATGAGAAGAAGCGAAGGCTAGAAGATATCTTCTGTCTGTCAATGCCTCCCTGTCATGGCAAAGTAATTATGACATCCATGTTTCTGTTTTTGTGGCCCCCTAAATAGTCATATAAAGGAGCACCATAACTTTTGTGGATGTTCGAAAACATGATGCCGACTATAATCATGATGCTCGACGTCTCATTACTCGGAACACCCATATGGCTCGAATCTCAAAGCATATAAGCATTATGTAACCTGACGTGCTTTATACGTGACTACCATATCTTCGTTATTATTTATTATTTTCGTTAGAGCTTTTTTGAGTGATCTTAGAGAGAGTAAATATCTCAGCTGGAAAGGTTTAAGATGAAGTAGTATAATTGAAAATTATTTTTCTTTCAATTAACCGGCATTAGAAGAAAAATGTTTCGTTCATACAATTATAAACTGAAACAAAGTACACAATAATTAGCATTGTGATAATATATATTTGTCAATGAAAAAAAGGTAAATGCAGTATAAATTCCTTTACTGTTTTCTGCATGTCATTTCACGTAGTAAATAGATTATATGTATGTACATATACATATACGAGGTATGTTCAAAGGAAAAGGTGAATTTTGAATTTTTTTGAAAACTTCTTATTTGTTCATCAATATGTATATTATCAATATGTATAAATCGAAGAGCGCACAAAAACGTGACTAACCTTTTCTGTTGTCAAAAACAAACTACTAATCGAAATTGCCTTCTAATGCAAGCACATGATAAACTGGGTGTTCGATTATAACAAAAACAAAATATCGATAATCGAATGTACACAACCCGCGAAAAAGCGAAATTAACCTTTTCCTTTGAACAGACCTCGTATGTATGAGTCTACGGAAAAAAGTGAAACGCCTCAATTAATTAATTAATTAATTCCCCAATTTTAGCTAGTAACTAAATACAAAATTATGATACGGCTACGATTAATTCCAAGCTACTTTTTCTGTTTTATTTTTGCTTCAATTTTATATAGAAATAACGCTTTATCTACTGCTACCAAAACAACAGGTGGTCCAACAAGTCAGCAATCAAAACTCACCACTCCAAAAATGATATGGGCAAAAACAAAATAGATTTCACTTGTCAAAGCGAACAACGAGGCAAGGTGCGGTGCTAGAAAACGCAATACCATAATTAAAAACAAAACAACACATTACAAATTACGAATTAATAATTGTTGCTTTGCTGTACACTTCCGTACTATCATCTGTTGGGAAATTCCGAAAATGAGGAAAGCATGTTAGTCACAGTGGCTTACCTAAACTATAACAGCACTTCAAGTGGGTTAGATCCAAACTTTTTACCAACCAAAGGTGAAAGGGTTTTTACTGGATTTTTGTCAGTTTTCGTTCTTAACAGCCAACTAAAGAGTTCCGTAACCGAAAGCCCTAATCGAAGTGAGTATAAAAAGTAGAGAGAGTTGTTGTCGATTGAAACAGCTGTTAGAGAGCAATGGGTAAACAAGCGTTATTAGACGCTTTTACCCTGATTCGGTCTTTGCTTTTTGTGAGCGCGATTGCCTCAATTTTTCGAATGTTATTTTTAAATGCTGGCATCAGAGAAACAATTGTTTTAACCTCACAATATCCGGTGCCAACGGTGGGTGGAATTTTCTTGTTATTACTACATGTAAATTTAGATGCTGGAGTGAGAAGTTAAGCAGTTACACTTCTTCAGATATAATTCGAGCAAATTTTTGAAGATTATGAAGAGGAACTTCAAGATTTCACAAATTTTCTAATACTTCATAAATTAAAGTATTTTATCATGATTAAAATAAGCACTCATTTTTCGAGGGAGAGCTCCAATGAGTCCAAAGAACCAGCGCAGCGAGGGCTGAAGCTCGCGTAGAGTAAAAATTTTCCTTGTATTGGAATATCCAGAAACATCCTCAACTGACGATGTGAACTCTCTTTCATTTCTTAAGCCACTTTAGGATAGAGCCATGGATTTTTACGAGTTGCATTTTCATGCCGAGCATACCACCTTACATTCAATACACCAAAATTTAAAACCAATTCATTTTTGTTTTTTCATAAAAGAAATTTATTTTTGTACACAAAACGATTTAAATGGCCCACTGTGCGAGAAATACACGCGTATGTGAGCTATTTTAATTTTGTACCAGTTAGATGTACACTTATCAGTGACGTTTATGACCTGCCTTTATAATTTACCATTGGGCGAGTATTGGTGCTGGTCGCAATTAGTTAACAAGTTCACAAATGAATTACCAACGGATAATTCTTCACATGAGAGCCGAATTCTTGAGATAGGCTTAAATTTGTTTGGGATTTTTCGATCCTCAGGTTAGTGCCATAGTAGTGGTGTAGGCAAGCTAATTATATTGCTAAAAATATGAGGCACTGGGTAACGCGCATTTAGCTTTCAACCGATCAACATACATTCGGTATTTCGAACTATTAAGATTTAGACTTGATTGAGTAGAATAAAAATATTTTTGTTTTTGTTTTATTTCCTGTCAATTGCGCCATTGATTCAAGTAAAATGTACAATAATAAATAATATTTATTGTGTTGTTTTTTACAACTTTAAGAACTACTACTATGTATTAAAAACATATTCACACATACACACCCACATACAAACATGAACTTTAGTCGTCATTCAAAGCGTATAATTACTATTTATTCATAACGCGTACTGGCGTTGTAATTTAATTATCGCTTCAAAACTTATACATTATATAAATATGTATGAATAACAATATATATGTATATATATTAATAATTATATTTAAAAATAACTTGAGTTGATAGCAAATGAAGCACTTTGAATTTGAGATGTTCTCGAATAAAATAACTGGTTAATGCCCGCGAAGCATACAAACACACACACACACACACACACACACACACATACATACATACATATGTTCATTATATTATTATATTACAAGTAGTACTAGAAAATTCATTAGTGATTAGATTCTTGTAAGTGCATGAGAACTTTCTCAGGCTTTTTGTTAGTGGAATCCACTTCAATAGTGAAAGTTTCGAGCACACGATTATTGAGAGTTTCTAAGCAAGAGCACACTTTGCGTAATGAACTTCTGCATCCATCTACAATACGACCTTGACTAAAAATACCCCTAATTCCTGTATTAGAGTTGGGGTCTAAACCATATTCGCAGGTAACCTTTCATATGCAAACGATTCCTTGGCGGTCGCAACTCTGTGATCTTAACCAAAAATTTTTAAGTTTGGAGATGGGTGGAACACTAAAAATCATTCATATGTTTGAAAAGTTCCCATTGTTCTTTGCTGATGTTGTTCCAGAACACTTTTTTGTGTAATTTCCTTACTTAAAGGTTGATACCACTTCTAAACTCAATCAAGTCAAATCTCTGTGCGGGGTTTAATTGTATGAGGTCCAACCTCACCAACTTCACGATTTTTTTTTCAATGCTTTTTTTCTGATTCTCATTAGGAGTCTACCAGAAACCAAGCTCGTTTCTATGTGGCACAGTCAAACTTTTAAACCGACGCTTCTCCGCGTTCCTGACTTTCGCTGGGTCATCGACTTTAAAAATAAACCATTCTTTGGCAGATGCACTACTGGCCGCTTCATTTTTGGCATATCATTCCCTCCCTTCTTCGTAGCCATACTTTAGCTACCGGGTTTGATTCCGACCCCCTGGAACAAGGCTTAGCTTCAGCTATAGGGTTAGTGTCAGCCCTTGCACCTAAACCAGGCTTAGCTCTTCCTTTGGTGCCGGCTACTTTTGGTTTCGTGACAAACACTTGTTCCCTCCGGTTTCCGGACTCCTTTAATTCTTTATTATTTTCATTATACTGATTCATATTTTGAACCCAGAAGTTTAGGGGAAATTGGGTCCGCTTGCGTATAGACTCCGCTACGCAAGTAAGGCTATCATATCACGGCGGACGCCATCTATCTGTAAGCTCCGTTCAAGACTGAGCTATTTCGGGGCCCCAGCCAGGTTGATCCTCGGCACGGATCGCATGGCACTTTGATCCAGCCCTTTTTTGTGCCCCCAACCATAGTAAGACTTCTTATTTGAATGTTGTGCTATTGAAAAGCAACGAACACATAACTAAAAAGTCAGACTTTAGCAAGATACCTCCCAACTGCAACAGGGGCGAAGTGTTACCAGTCTGTGGAGTGGATATAACCTGTTAAGCGGCCTTCACAAAACCGATAATTTTATGACACACATTTTCATAGTGAGAAAGTTAGCAAAAGGGGACTGAAAAAGGAAATATGTCTTTCGGAACTGCAATCAAATAAGGGTTCTGCAGAATAGTCTTCCAACCTCCTCCAACTGTTGTTACACTGTTTGGACTTCGTCTTACCGGAAAACATTGTACTCGTACATGACTGTTATGTATAAAATGTATTTGTTTACAATTTCTCTGTAGGTATGACAGTTGCTATGTTGCTACTTTCCATTCCAAAATGTCGACCAGGTTAAACTATTAGCAATATTTTCGAAAAAGGGCACTTCCGGGTTGTGCGATTTTTTTCCGATTCTTGTCCCACAACTTATCTCATCACTTTATGAGTAAATGTGCAAATGTCAAAGGCAAAATTTAAGTTTCAGAGCTCTGGAGTTTGAGTATTGATACGGTGGAGCTTACTCCAAAGAGCATAAAATACTAAGGAATGCATATTAAGCAGTTTGCGAATATTTATTAATACATTTTATGGCATTTAAAAATATACTTTAATTAAAAAGAGAGTGCCGTTACTTACTGATGCACTCTCACTTGCATGATCGCTCTTTGCTAGCTCTCCACTCAACCTTGCAAAACAGAAAAAAAACTTTCTTAATTTTCTTTTACTACGTATGCACTCAGTTATCAGTACATATACATATACTATTTATAAATAATACAAATTTAATAAAAATTTACTCGCGAATTCTGTTTTGTCTTCGCACCGATGATTATTTGGCAATACGCGCATTTCCATGGGTGTGTCAAAGCTGATTTTCTAATTATAGAAATCAAATGCAAATGCACAGCAACAAATTACGCGCTCTTGCACACACAAATAGGTACATACATACGTGTAAATATTTATATACATATTAAAAAATAGCATTTGCATAACCATCCATAAAAAATATACACAACAACAACACTTCTAGAGGGAGTCAACAACAATGAACAGCGATGATGAGTAAATATGCAACAACAAATTTGTTTGTTGTTTTCGATTTCGTACTAACTTTTGAGAGCTGCTAAACTTTTTGAGGTGTGCTGAATTTGTGGATGACTAAGGGCATCCAACTAATGGAATTTTTGCATGAATGTCAATATCCTTATAATTATACTGTTGAAAATATACCTTTCGTCCCGAACGCAGCCTCGAACCACCTTAGTATTTTGCACTGTATTATCTAAGTAGAGATTACGTAACAGCCCTGGCGAATAGCAGAAAACGAGCCTACGACCAATGCACATACAAAACGCACACAAAGAGCCAGCTTTGTCATGTAAACCAGTGCGCAGGCTCAAACATACTCGTAGCTATGAGCGCATATGAAAATGCGCAAACGCTCTAACCGATAAGCAAAGCAGCTGCATTACGTTTGGCACGGGCGAATGGAAACGGTGATTAAGTTCTGGGAATCCATATAAATTTATTAAATATGCAAATACAAAAGTGTTATGTGCAAACAAAGGGTATGTATGGATGTGTTAGTGTATGTTACATATCTATAATATTTTAGGTGTGAAAAGCTGCAAACTATGATTATTGATTCACAGTAAAGCTCATCAGTGTTTTATGGGTTTGTGGGTAAGTCAATAGGTATGTACGATACATATGTAAGTATGTATACACACACGCTTGTATAGATTTTCTAAATTAATGTGAAAAAGACCCCTCAGGGATACATACATACAGATGTATGTACACATATCCACAGAGTTATTTAAATAAAGGCACAACACTGTCAATATTATTTTTGTCTAAAACAAATTAGCTAAATTATGATCATATTTAACTGGAAATATAAACAAAGAAATTACCTAAGTGAATGTTTAATGGGCACGCCTAGTGTGAAATTTCGAAAAAAATTATTTTGTATTTTTTGGAATTTTCCTATAGCCGATACCTTAAAAACAAAACATTCTAAAAATTTAAATTAATATTTGTAGTAATTTCGGAGTTACAGCCTTCTAGAATTCAATCTGTAAACACGTTTTTCTCAAAACTAAAATTTTGAAATTCGTTCGTTTTGAATTTACCTGCTTATTTAGTACAAATTTCTTTGTACAATTACCCTTGTACCAGTTTGGTTTATTTGAAAAATATAATTTTGGCGAGCCAAATTTCCGTTAATTTTTGAGCAAAATTAAAATTTCCTTTTTTCGAGAAGTCTGCCATTTTGTTAAATTTAAATTTTTTTATAATAATCATGAGTTTTTGTTAGGATTTCAAATAATTCATTAAAAAAAATATAAATAACATTTAAACAGTTTTTTTATTTTTTATCAAAAAAATCCTAATAAAAATAATTTTCAAATTCCTAATCCTACATACCGAGTGGGAAAATTAAAAATAAATATTTAATTCCAAATACCGATTAAATTTTGATTTTACATTTTTTGCGCTTGAGTACTTCGTGTTGTACCATTTTGAACTAGAGTTTGCACATAGCCATCATATTCAATACTCAAGAGCAGTGATCGGCACACTTACATATTCAAACGATTTATATTTGATCAATTTCTAATTCTGATTTTCAGAATAAAAGTTAAATTTTTGTTTCCGATTTCGCTTTTAAAAATTAAATTTTCCATTTTAAATCCCAACATTTTGAAACTGGAAACATTAATTTAATTAATTTTTTAATTCACAACTCTGGTTATTGTACATGTACGGAAATAGATTTTATTATATTTGTGCGCTTATTGCAAGCAAGCTATTTTGCATTTAGCAAATATGAAAATATCATACAAATAGTTTGTCAATATGAAATTACGCTCCAAAAGGTTCGAAAACAAATAGTTACAGAAAATAGAGATATTCAAATATAAACATGTGTACATACATACATATTAACTTCATCTCTGAAGCAAGTGAAGCTAAAAAATGCCTTCTATGTATGCATATGCTCATATTTCTCCCATGGGGGGCACAATTATCACAAAAACAACAAACATGTGTCAAGTTAGTAGCACAAAATCAGCAGATTTTATTGTTCCACGCAAATCAAATGAACCGTATGCATTTGGCGTAGCCATGTGGGGTGCAACGGCACAAAACAAGGCCTGCCTCCTTTCAAAAAGCCTAAAGCCTGATAAGAACTGATAGATTTACTGTTTTTAGATCGCATGTTGTGAGTGAGATGACAAAAATTAATATGTAAATGCACGTACATTAGGTTAGTAATAAAAAAAATTCACCAGACAAGGTTCGAAAAGCAATACCGTTAAAATGGAAATAATGTTAAATGCTTATGCTGCTAAATTGTATAACTACCTCTTACAAGTGATGCATATTTGTCGAGAATAACTACTAAAGTGACAGCTCTTCGCTCATACCAAAATTATTTACATCATTCTGTGTTTGAAAGTATTTGTAACCACCCTAATGAAAGCGCTTACGTATGTATATATATTTGTTTAAGATCTTATTAGCAATTTAGTAAACAAATTAATAGACTGTATATTGAACAAATGCATATATAAAAACACCAGCCATTGTTATCACTTCCCTTGAACAGCCGCGCCTCTCTCGATTGTAAGATTTCTCAAAAAAAAAAAAAAAAACATATATATATTTATGTGCTGAATATAAGCAATTTCTTACGTGTATATATGAATGTAAGTATGGGATACGTCAATTAATGTCATAATTCAATACAGAATCTACCTATTTTCTTTTATTTATGAAAGCCGTATTCTAGTCTAGAAATTTTAAAATATCTAAAAAAAAATTCTTATATATTTGGACAGTTTTGATATTAAAAAATATCTCTTTAAAGATATTTTTTAAATACTTATTTTCTAAAGGATAGCCAGTTTAGTGTCGTTCAACTTGGCTAGTTTAGTTTTTACTTAAAACTAAGCGCGTTTTTTCTCAAAACTGTCTTCTTCGAAACTACTACTGTCCCCATTAACCTGAAACTGATTTTTAGAGTCTTCTTTATAGACTTTTCTATGTCCGGAGCTAGCCATATTCCCACATTTAAATCTTTGTTATTTTTAATTTTTTTATTAAATATCGAAACAGTCAAAACATTGGTAAAAATTTTTTTGAAGGCAGTCGCCATTTAGTGATATTTTTTTCCATAACTTTTCCGTAGTTCCAGACATTGCTACATTATACAAGATTAATAATTCTTTTTTTTAGTTTCAGATTGCTAGGAGGGTTGAAATCGTGGGTATGGTCACGTGCCAATTATTTGATAATTTTCTTCAATAGCCGCTAGTTTTTGAAATTTTTGACTTTCTTTATTTTTTTAATTTTTTTTTTATGACAATTCAAAAATACCTGAAACAAACAAAAAAGTTTCATAATTTTGGTACCCAATTTATTTTAAAAGCTCTGTACAATATTTGAAAAGGAAAAGAAATATATCTACAATTAAAATAGCTTACAATTGATTTTATATATAGTACAAGGATCTCTTCGATTTGAAAAACTTGACACTTAATATTGAAAACACCAAAATTGAGGTAGTTTTACGAATAAAATCCAGCATTAAAATCATATTAATTTTTCAAAAAACACAACAAAGTTTTTCATAATCTATTGACACTGCTGCTACTGTAGCCATTTATGTGGCGCCTCTATTGCATTGTACAAACCTATAACCTATGCAATGCTCTATTTAATGTTGAGTTTAGTACAAACAGGAAGATATTATTGTAATTTCACTAAACTATTAGAATAAACACATTTAACTTAGCTAATACACAAACGAATTTGATTAATTTGCTAAATATGCTATATTACCATTGATCACTAAATTCGATTTGTTTCAAGGTAATCTTCACTATCTTCCTCTTCCACTACGCTATAAGCAGATTTGCCGCTATTTTTTACAGCTGGTTTTTCCAAATGTGTATCGAAGAACTCATCGACGGTGTCTGTATTCCATTTTGTAATGGATAATGTCTCCTGCACATTACCGCGAGCGTCTAGTAATTTCACTATCGGATCAAGGCCACGCATGTATTTAATTTGTAAATTCGAATATTTCGCCGGTCTACCACTCTTTATGAACGCTTCAATTTGTGGATAAGCACGGAATTTGCATGTGCATACTTCGAGTATAGCTTTTGGCCAACGACGCTGTGCAGCCGGCTGTTTATCAGGCGTACAACACTCCTTGCAATGTGACCTATAAACAAAAGTAGACGTGCTCAATATTCCTGTCTCTTCGGAAAAATCTACTTACTTTATCGAATCCAAGCCGAAATCATTTAATTTTTCACAGGATGAACACATTAATTGGGCTTTGTTAAACCCAAGTTCTCGGCAGTCCTGCGTTGTGAACTCAGCAAATATGCTGCACTGTAATATTTCGCATTATTGAAATAAATATTTGTGACTCATAAACAATACTTACAACACATAAAGTTACTAACAATGTAATATATTTTAACATTTTTCTAATTTGGTAGAGTATTTAAACGAGTAAACATAAAAGACACGTACAATTTGTTATTAAGTTATGGCAGTAGAACAATGCTTCTTAAACACAGCTTATATTTGACAATGCCTACGCAAATATCACAGGGTGTCGAATTATCAAAATGAATAAAACCCTACATGTTTATAAAATATTTTTCGATAGATTACTCGGTACTTAAAAATAATATATTATGTTGTAATTTACTTCGTTATGCCCATATGAATATATAAATTATGTGCCTTAAAATGATTTAAGTTAAAGAAGAAATTAATAAAACAAACCTGATAATAAAAAAAATTATTATTAAATTCAGTTCTAAACGCAATTTCCACTCGATTTATTGATAATGCAGTGCAGTTAATTTCCTTGCTAAATTCTGAGTAATACGGAAATGGCAATCGGAAGATGGATGAAGCAATTAGGTTTGTTTATTTTGCAATTTAAATATCCTCAAGATACGCGCATATTTATAAACATACATAGAAATATACAAGTTGAACTTACCTTAACAAAAATATAGAAAATTACCTTAAAAATTTCCCTAAAAAATGTATACCCTCTTCCTCAGAGGTAAATATAAACATATGTATATACATATGTATATGTATATGCACTACTGGCTTCATCGGCAAGCTACCTAGAGCGCCATGTTAAAATTGAACAATAATAGCTTGAATAACGAGTAGTGAAATATATTACAATAAATTATTTTACTACAAATAGAAATCGATACACAATCTAAAACATTTAGAATATAATCAAACTAAATATGGTATACACGTGTGAAACATTCAAAACACAATATGATATTGAATTGAACTATAAATTAATTGTTAACAAACATAACATAACGAATTTATATCCGCATAAAATCCTACACTACCTACATAGAATTTACGTATAAAAATATTTATTTCATTTGTAATTAATATATTATTTCCTTATATGTCATCGATTAATCAAAATTTATAAAAGTACTGGAGTAACAGTATCTTCTTATCATATTGTCATTGATAGTATTAGTTATTTAGGCCCCTTGTTGAAATAACGGATCTGCATTTTATATATCTGTTCGCGCTTAATGCTAAAAATGTAAACAAAGCATGGCAAATAAAACAGCAAAAATATAGAAAATTTCCAGGTTAATTTTATTTTATTTACAATTAATCCGATAAGTTGTCAATTTTGTCCCGCCAACAGCGCGGAATCTAACGCAACGGAAGTGAAAATAAATGTCATAATCGTTAAATAAGTGTTTTATTTCTCATCATGTATAAAATACAATATATTATTAGTTTTTTAATGTGTAAAAATATGTTTTAACAACTATAAGTGCAAATTACGAATGAAACAAAAAAATTATACTAAAATTTCCAAATTTAGCGATTAAGGTGAGTTCATGTCGGTTTATGACTATAAAAAATAAATAAAATTTCTATTAATTTGCAGTTATACTTAAATATGTGCATATACTTTACTTTGAAAACAATTCAGCAACAGGTATAGGATGTTTAATGATGACAATCTCTTTGCTAGCGGGGGTTTCATAAACAATGACCTCAGTTGGCACAACGCCGGCTAACTGTTCCACGAGTGGCTCATTTATATGCTCTATAGCAGATGTGACGTTTTGTACGTCAGCAGGTTTGGTTTGCTCAGAAACTGGTGTAGTGTGTTCCTCTAATTCTTCTTTGTTAACTGTGGTGTGGGAAGCTTGTACTGGGATATGTGGTTCTTGATGTTGATCTATGGGCAGATTTTGTGATTGGATCACTGGTTTCTTTTCCTTAGAGTCTTCATGGCTTTCATTACTTTCACTACTTTCTTTTGATTTACTATCCTCCTCACTTGCATGTTTCTGTTGTTCATTTTTTTCACCTTTCTCTGCCTTTTCACCGCTCTTTGGTGACTCCTCAGGATGATGATATTTAGGCACTAAAGGAACAGGTATATCACGTTTAACTGGCGTTGCTACATCTGTGCTCTTTGATTCATAAGTTTCAGTGTGGTCACTAATTTCTGATGCAAGTGGATCTTCAGAATTTGTTTCATGTTGAACTTCTTCTTCGTTTGATTTATTTTTTTCCTCAATATAAAGAAGTGGTGCTACTGGTACTGTGGATGCTCCAATTAGATGGGGATCTACTTGACGGCGTTGTCGCGATTTGGGTAAATCGCGAGCAGGGACTGGCTCAGGATGTGCCTTAAGAGGTGATACAGGTGTAGATGCAGACACATTTGCAGATTTTTTCGTTTCTCTATTTTGCTCTTTTTCTCGCTTTTGACGATGATGAGTAGAATCAGCCTCCAAACTTTGCTCGGTTGACTCTTGTGAATGGTTATTCAGCCTTTCAGCTTGTCTGACAGGAAGCGCAGTTGGCGCAAAACGTGTTATATGATCATAAGGGTTGTCTTCAGCTTCACGTTTATGTTTCACAATTTCTTTTGGGTCGGTGATCTTAGTGATCTTTTCAGCAGGCTTAGGATCACTGGGTACATCGGGATTAATAGGACTAGGACGCTCTAGCGGTAAATCCTGCTCTTTAGCTGCAGTTGAAGTTTGTTGTGACGTAGGAGCTGCAACGCAGCAAACCATTAAGCAGGCTAATATAATCTTAAGGAAAATATAATTAGTCTGAAATTATATAACAAATGCATTTACTTACAATCTGTCGCATCGTTTTATATTTGCTGCATAAATCTTTGAAATATGAACCAACACTACTCTTGCAGCCATTATATTTATGGCTTTTATACATAAACACGCAGTTAATATGCAAAATTGAAAATGGAAAAAATAAATAAAACGAGACTCAAGTGAGAAAATGTTCGTGCATTGTCGGATAAGTGTTTACAGGAATTGTTAACTTTTCGATAATTTGTGCTAATTAAAGCGAATGTGAAGTACAAAACAGAGCAGTTATCAATTTAAGCTATATTTTGGAAAGTAGTAATGCGAAGATCCTCATCACATCACACAAAGTCATACTAGCGACTCAATACAAACATTTTACTTTTTTATTTTGACCTATTTTTAAAGAAAAATACACATATAAATGTCTGGTGGTAATTGTATGGATTGTTCGGTTCATAAATAAAAAATTAGCAAGCTGCTCAATTTATTTATCTTCATCTTTACTATGTAAGTGTGTAAAATTTATTTATTTACGAATTTGCTTCATGCTAACAATCAGTTATGCAATGAATCATCAATTAGTGTGTAATTGATAAAAAAAAAATGTTCCAAATGGTTCGACGTTTACGAATGTGAGATTCAGCATTAAATTAATTTAATTTAGTTATAAAGAAAAACAATGCAGATCGATTAGTAGCGAGATGCCACTCTTTACATTTTAAAATCTTAAATACCTGTAATAGAAAAAACATATATAGATATATAATTACCCCGATGTGTTCAAAGGGAACTTTTGTGTATTTATATGAACTGAAACTGTAAATTCTTATAAAATGCGGCCCTAACAATGATAAAAATAATTCATTAATAATAAATTCATTGACCTTTATTTTTAAAATATTGTCTACCGACAAAGATATAAAATATGTTCTTATGTACATATGTGGACTTGAAAGCAACTAGTGCGTATACAATTTTTTGAGTTCTTCTTAAATAATCCGTGGATAACTTTATACTTGTCACATATTTACACTATAGATAAAATAACAAATTAAATATTTTATATTGCAACTTTTAAAGTGTTTGGAATAATGATTAACTATCTAGTATATATGTAGGCCTCCACTTTAACCACACTGTTCAATTGACTAAACTTCATGTATTTTATATTTAATAACTAAGGTTTAAAGCACAACTAACTAGTTTGATATTCTTGTGCCTCTTCACTATAACTAATTTGGCTGCTATCAAAGTGTACATTTGTTTGAAATACTTGTACTGGTTGAAATTCGCCATCTTTTAAGTTACTTTGCGGCTGCTCCGGTGCTTCAGAAGAAATACCCGACGCTTTGGCTTTGGCCAGGAGGGGTTTAATAAGTAAACCCTTCAAACTATAATCTGTAACATTCAACTCAAGCTCCGCAATATCGATTGAGTTTTCCACTTCATTGACGTTAGTATTTACCTTTTCAACAAATTGTTCTAACTTATCTATGCGCTCGCATAGATTCTGAAAACTATCGCTATATGCAAGTATGCCACTGACGTGATTCTCCAATATGCTGTTGTTTTCTGCTCGCACCTGTGAATTAATTCAATCAATTTCGTATTCATTAGATTCAACTAGTTTGCTTACACTCGAAAGCAGTGTTTCGAATTCGTCCAGTCGTGCCAACATATCCTCAATACTTATACAAATCGGATTAATCTGTGCAAATACAAATGTTAGATAAAGCAGTATGTACGATATTTTGGCTCACCTCTCGTTCCAAATTAATGCTTTGCAAAATTTTTGCATAGTCCTCCGCAGCCTGTTCAACCATAATTTCCTTTTACGTTGTCAACAAATATTTTATCTTATCAGCAAGGCAAAGTGAAAACAAAACAGCTGTTTCCCTGCGGATGTGTTTCTTTAGCACACATACCGGAATGCAATATTTTATCCACTAAACATATCTTAGCTTGAATGTTGTCTTTTGACATTAAATTTCTCATCGATTTGACTTTTTTGACGGCTGTGTATATTTTAAGTGAAAAAAATATATTTTCATAATTGATTTGTGCCAAGTAAATTTAAAGAGTTAAAGTGTTCTAACGATAATGAGTAATTACCGAGGAATTGGGGGTGGTGGCTTTCCATATAAAGTGAACCAGAACCGCAATGTTGGCGCATCTATGAACGCAGTGCCTCCACCCTCGTCACTTAATAATCGTGGACCTCAGCGAGGGGGTAGCGGCGCTCGTGGCGCCGGTGGAAACACTGGAGCTACCAAGTACGGTTATACATCGCTGGAATCGATAAGCCAGTTCACAGCTTCTCAAAATCTTATTGGTAAACGCAAATCACATACAGAAGATGAATATTTTGATGATGATGAGGAGCAAACCCCGGAACAAGCATATATTCCTGCACCAGGCTCACCCGGCTATGTGAATCAAAACAAAGCAGATAGTGATTCCGATGAAGATCCACTGGATCAGTTTATGGCCGGCATTGAACAGCAAGTACAGAAAGAAAAAGTACGCAAAGAACATGCAGTAGTTTCTCCAGTAGAAGAGGTTCCCGGACCAAAGAATACGAAAGGTGTGCGCGGAGATATTGATGATGAAGACGACGAAGAAAGTTATTATCGGTACATGGAAGAAAATCCTAATGCAGGTCTTCGCGATGATGGTTCGGATATTGAAATAGAATATGATGAAGATGGCAATCCAATAGCGCCACCCAAAAAGAAAGACATTGATCCTTTACCACCTATATACCACTCTGAAATTGAATATGAGTCATTTGAAAAGAACTTCTACACACAACATGAAGAAATTGCCAATCTCTCAGAAGATCAAGTTCGGGAGCTGCGGAAAACATTGGGCGTCAAAGTAACTGGTCCTGAACCACCAAAACCAGTGTCCTCATTTGCGCATTTTGGTTTCGATGAAAGCCTAATGAAATCCATACGGCGAGCAGAATACACCCAACCGACGCCTATACAAGCGCAGGCAGTGCCTACAGCCCTAGCAGGACGTGACATTATAGGCATTGCAAAGACCGGTTCTGGTAAAACCGCTGCCTTCGTTTGGCCAATGCTTGTGCACATAATGGATCAGCGTGAGCTGCGCACAGGTGATGGTCCCATTGGCTTAATTTTAGCGCCCACGCGTGAGTTATCACTACAAATATACAATGAAGCTAAAAAGTTCGGAAAGGTATACAATATCAATGTGGTATGTTGTTATGGTGGTGGTTCGAAATGGGAGCAAAGTAAGGCACTTGAGCAAGGCGCTGAGATTGTTGTGGCTACACCTGGTCGTATGATCGATATGGTAAAAATGAAAGCAACACATTTGCGAAGAGTAACGTTTCTAGTGTTAGATGAGGCAGATCGCATGTTCCACATGGGTTTTGAGCCGCAGGTTTGCAACAAAATTGTAAGCTTTTAGTTTGTTTTGTATTTCGAAATCTTTTTTTTTATTCCAGGTTCGGTCCATCTGCAATCATGTCCGTCCTGATCGTCAAACATTGCTATTCTCAGCCACATTCAAAAAGCGTATCGAACGTTTGGCACGTGATGTACTCACCGATCCCGTGCGCATCGTGCAAGGCGACCTCAATGAAGCCAACCAAGACATTACACAGTACGTTTATGTGTTCCCCAATCCACTGCAGAAGTGGAACTGGCTGCTCTGTCATTTGGTTAAGTTCCTATCGGAAGGCAGTGTTTTGGTGTTTGTCACCAAAAAAGCTGATGCCGAGACTGTGGCCAACAACCTAATGGTGAAAGAATACAACTGTTTGCTCTTACACGGTGATCTAGATCAAGCTGATCGTAACAAAGTTATAACACAATTTAAGAAGAAGGAATGCGACATACTAGTGGCCACCGATGTGGCTGCGCGTGGTTTGGACATACCGCATATACGCAACGTTATTAATTACGATATCGCACGCGACATCGACACACATACGCACCGCATTGGTCGTACCGGGCGTGCGGGTGAAAAAGGTACAGCCTACACATTGGTCACTGACAAAGACAAAGAGTTCGCCGGTCATCTGGTGCGCAACCTGGAGGGTGCCGATCAGCAAGTACCTGACGACTTAATGGAATTGGCTATGAAGAGCTCGTGGTTCCGCAGTTCGCGCTTCAAGCAGGGCAAGGGCAAGAAAGTTACCATTGGTGGTACCGGTTTAGGCTATCGTGAACGCAGCAGCGGCAGCAGCAGCGTAAAATCGAATTCGGCAAATGAGTCCTCTTCGTTTGCATCCATAAATAAGTCAATATCGGCTGCAGGTCCAGCAACCGATCGCTACGGGGCCATGCGCGAGGCATACAAAGCACAATACATGTCGCAATTTCGGGCTTCCACTGATCGCACATGGGAAAAGACTGTGCCTGAGGCAGGCGTTTTCGCAGCACCGGCACCTCTGTTGCCCTCAATGCAGCCAACTTCCTCAACGTCAAGTGGCAACTCAGCAGCGGCTGGAGCTGGTGCTGGTGATGATAGTGGAAAACCACGCAAGAAGAAGAGTCGTTGGGATTGAAACGGGGGCGAAAGCAATTAAGCTCCAATTGAATATAAATATTCGTACTTGGCATAAAGACATTGGGTGTAGAAGTTGGCGCCCGCTGAGGTTACATTTAAATCATTTCACACATTCACATTTTTGCAAAGTAAAGCTAAACACATTCAAATAAAAATATATTTCATCATAAAATAGCCGTTATTAGTTGCGTAACGTTGCAGCACCTTGCTCTTTTGGTGTTATATGTATTTATTCTTTGTTTGCATAATAATTATGTAAAAACCGTAAACAGTTAATCCTGACACTAAAGAATAAATGCGAAGTACTCATCGGATGTGCATATGTATGTATGTGTGTATATTCTAGACATAAATTGATATAAATGCCGTTAATTGCAAACTCCGTGCTATGCGTACGATTTTTGTTTAAGTGCATTTATAGGCAACCACTTTTTACCTACCTTACTCTGTAATGCTAATAAAGTATGGAAAATAGAAAAAGACGTTCATAACTTTTTTCCGTAATTCTTTTATTTTCATCTCATGCCATTCTTAATATATCGACTCGCATTCTGCGCAATAATCAACACGCTGCCACTGACCATATGCTCGCTTACGCTAAATTTAATTTATTAAATTTTTTTTTAATATATACACAAATATGTTTTAAATACTTATTCGTTTATTTTATTTTTCTTATCTTTTTTGTTGTTCTCATTACTTCCTTGGCTTAAACTCATTAGTTTTTGTGGTATTATTTTAACATAAATTTTGTAAATCGGCATATTGCTCGAAATCTCTGTGCATTTTTATTTAGAATAAAAATCACATTTTGCGCATTTTTGTTACTTAATTCTTATATAAATATTTTGAATTGTTTTGTTTTTTTCTTTTTTTTTTGTAATTTGCTTCTATAAACATACATTTATATAATGGATTCTTCTCACCGAGCAAATAATAAACCTTGTGCTAAGATTGTGACAAGCATACTTTAGCAAAATTATATTTATTACTAAAATTACTTGATTTATTGTGTATTATTTTTTATTTTATTTTTTGCTATGCTTATTGAATTATTTGAGTTTTTCAGTTTTGTTTTACATTGAAACCACTACTAAATTTTCTGTTAAATATTTAAATGGTATTTTGTTTTGTGTTTAAGATTTCTTACACGTTAATGAAATTATAATTTTTTGTTTTGTTTTATCAATTAATTTTTCAGCATTTTTTAATAATTTTATATATGAAGTGATTTTAATAGCTACTTTTTTTTTATATATTTGTGTTAATTTTTTTTTTGTTTATTTTATATATTAAATATTTTTAAATATTATTTAATTTATTTGTTTTTGCTCCGCTCACAATCACCAATATTTTTTTTTTTAATTTTGAGAGAAAGGTTAAGATTCATTTAACTAGAGTAGAATATTTATGTATGATTTCTCATTATTCTTAGTTAGTTAAATTTTTTACTATATTCTTTTTGTGATTTTACAACAAATATTATTTACATACGCGCATTTCAAGTTAATTTTCTTTTAAAGAACTGGTTGGCAAAAGTATTATTTTTTTTTATTATTTACCGGAAAATCGTCAAAAATTAAACCAACTAACTAAAAATTGTATTCAAACATTTGTTTACACTAAATTCGGATTTTCATTCACTAAATTTTTTCACATATGCAGTTTTCGTTAGATAAAAACAATAAAAAAATTTAGTTTTATTATTTTTTTTAATTATATAAATTTTTGCCCAAAATATAATATATCTGAATTGAAAATAAAAATTCTGTTAAATTGCGTTCAAAAACAAACTGAAAATTAAATATCGCATAAAAATATAAATTTTTTATTTCAAGCAACAAAAAAAACGCTACATTTTCTGAAAACGACACAGCGAAACCTTTGACTACTAGACTGTTACCATCAGTCAATAGGTAGGCAAAAAACAAATTATGTTGTTGTTATAAGTTTGCGAAATATGCCAGACCAAAACCGGTGCATTGTTAAAATACCTTACAAAAACAACAATATGGTTTTTAGTGTTTTCGCTGTGCTGATGCACACTTTTTGTTGTAGTTTCAAATACATAACAACTTTCCTGTTACAGGCCGAGCACAAATGGAAAAATATTGCTAAAGTGCGCGCAATATCTCGCATTAAATCGTCTAGCAAGTGTTTCTGTTCCGTTTTGTTGTTAAAACATAAGTGTAAATGAAAAGAAAAATCACAATTTGTTGTTGTTTTTAATACTTTTTTATTTTTGTGTACTTTGTATCAATTTCAATTCACTTTTTTTTTTTAAATATATTTATATGCCATCATTTTTTCACGCAAAACTATTTATGTATGTATTTACAATATTTATGTTTTCATCAAATACCACACTGTATGTATGTATAGCTACATGCACATAATATGTAATTAAATACTTTAAGCATATGATTTAAGTTTTATTACATAGTTTTACTTTCTCACTACGATTTTAAGGTTAATTATATATATATATATATATATATATATGTATGTATATCTATTTTCTTTACTGCTTATACTTTTTACACACATACATTTGTATAACTTATCAATTAGATTTTCTGCTGCTTAATGTCTAGCACAAATTAAATTCAATATTCTTTTGCATACTTTTTGTTGTTGTAGGGATTTTATGATTTTTAAAATTTTTTATTGTATTTTATGATTTTTTCCGTTTGCTTAGAGACTAATTTTTAATTCTGCTTGATTGTTAGGATTTTAAGTAAAATTAAAATACATATATGTATAGTTATAAATATATGCACATATTTATTTAATTATATGCATACTTATAAAGATTTATAATTTTATCAATAATGTATGTATGTAGGTGCGTATATATGCAGATGTAGCGTGTATATATATATATACATAAGCATTTACATACATACACACATACATACACACATACATATGCATACATAAGTTAGTGATGTGCTCCTAATTTACCGCTATATATGTATATCTATTTACATATGTATGTATGCATAATGTTTTATATAAGCATGTATGTATGTGTGTATATAATTAATTAAAAAAATGTTTATTAAAATTATGCAACAATTGAATTTTCATTTTATAATTTTTGTTTTTCTTTTTGTTTTCATTTATGCTTTGTCACCTACGCCACTACACACACATGTTACTAAATTTTCGCTCGCGCTCTCACTAACACACAGCAAATTGTTAAATGTAAAGTTATTAAGCTTATTTAAATCCATAAACGCACACATATATGCATGTACATATGTATTTGTGTAAATATGCTGCGTAGTTTTTTTATAATTAAATTAAATTTTCTTTATAATATACACGTAAATTAATGGGTTTTTATATTAATAGTTATTTTTTTTTATTTTTTTCATTTAAATTTTATTTTATTTTAATACTTTGTACAATGGAAACATTGAAATATGTTTACCCTAACACATTCTTACATTTTTCTTACATGAAACATCACTATTTTCCGTTCGCAATTTTATGTGAATGTCAATAACGTAAAATGAAAATTTTGTTTATACAAAAATTTAAAAGCGAAATTTTTGTTAGAAAAACGCGCATAAAAAACTCGAATTTGTATATACTGTTCAACAATTACATGTGTACATAAAAAATAATTAAAACTTAATGCAGGCAAAAAAAATAGAATAAACATTTAATTTTGTGCAAAACAAATAAAATAAACATTTAATTTTGTGCAAAACAAAACTTACTGCTCAACGTAACTATTTTTATGTCAGGCGCTGTTATTTTTTTGTTTTGTTTGGTAAATCCATCATTTGTTAAGCATGAAACTTTGTATATTTAAAATTTATAACGTAAAAGTTGTTTTTTGTTTCCTTTGCGGTTTAAAATCACATTTCATTGTTTTTGCATTCATTTAGCACTAATTTATGCGTGTGTTTGTTGTAACTTTAATTAATTTTTTATACTTTTCTCACACCAAAGCATTGTGTGTGTTTGTTTTTTTTTTAATCAGGCATATTGAGCTTTGAGCTTTCTTGTGTCGAAAGCTCTCACTATTAGAGCTTTCATGCGTCGAAAGCTTTCACTATTAGAGCTTTCATAATTTTACAAACTTCATGCAAACATTGTATTTAAGGGAGATTTTGGCAAAATGGTGCAGTTACTGTACAAGGTTGCTTACCAAAAAAAAAGCGCGCTAAAGGGTTCAATAGACTTGGCCCCGCAAAATTTGCGAATGTTAATATTGCAATTGCTTTGCTGCTGCATTTAAGTGTGTTAAAACATTAATAATACTTAGTATATACAGCTCGAAAGGTAGCTCTCATAGAAATTGCTATACTTTTATATTTCATTTTAGTAATTTTAGTCTATATGCTTGTTGTTGATTGTTGGTGTGGTTGTTATTTCATAAAACTGTGGTCTAAGCGCTGCAACTACGAGTTCATTTCTACTTAATTTTTGTAAAGTTTGATTTTCGTTGAAAGTTTACAAAAAAAAAAAAAAAAAAAAAATATGGCAATTTCATTAAGTTTTTATGCATTTTTTTTTCTATAAATTTTTAAACTTTGAATTTGTTCATTTTATTTTTACTCTGTTTTCGAAGAAACATCAAATATTGTTTATTACACTGTTACAATATGTATAACTGTATGTCGTGGCATGTTTCTGACATTCTTCGAAAGTGGAAATGTTACGCGCTGCCACCCGGTTTATTGACTTTCTTCTGTTTCTTTAATACCCTGTGTCACATTGGTGGTTCGTGTCGCTCAAATTCTCACACCTCAACGCTTTTACTAGAAAGTTCGCTTTCTGGTCATTATTTTTTTGTTGTGGTTTGACATTTTGTTTACAACAACTCCTTCAGTAGATTGTCTCAATCGAATAACGTCGAAAGTATGTCATCATTATTGTTGTTGTTGCTGGAACCGCTCGATGGTGGCGTATTCAGATCGGGTTGTGGATCCAAGTACGACAAAATTTCCATGGGATCAACATCCGGTAGCAACTGAAAGAATTTATGGAAACGATATTGAGTTATTATGTTTATTAATGGTATATTACTTAATAGTTCTGTTTAAATGTATATTTTTACTGGATTCTGATAGAGAATTAAGTAATTTCAAAGCTGTAGACTACTGAAATTCCTAACCAAAATTTTATACAAAATTTCTCAATCACTAAGACAGTATATGTATATACTCTTAATGCCGTCATATTGGTCTATGTTTATAGGGTTGGCTTCTCTTAGTAAAAAGTTTGAATTCAGAACTCTCTTTAGCTCTCTCTCTCTCTCTCTCTTTATTTCTAACTAATGCTTGGAAGCTTTTCGAGTTGAATTTTTTTTTAATAAGGCGCATAAGCAAGAGAGCCCTCAGACTTTGGTGGATGCACAAAAAAATATCACGAAAGTGTAAGAAGTAGCAAGGCTAAGCTTGAAACACTTCTCAAGAATTAATACCCCTATAAAAAATAATTTCACTTACATTCAAGTCCCCGGAGCCGTCATTGTTGTCCATATTCAATTCCGCATTCAAATCCGTTTCGTTGAGATTCGACAAGCCGTTCGGCTGTGAGTTGATTAGCGAATTGATTATTTGCTCTTGCTGCGATTGCTGGACTGATTGTTGTGAATGTTGTTGCTGTTGATGTGATTCATTCGAACCAGCGCGATTGGATGTAGGGCCACCGGGTTGGCCGGGTGTGCCAGGTGTTTGTGGTGAGGAGTTTGAAATATTCGCATTGGGTGTCGATGGCTCGTTATGTGCCGAGCTGACACTTGGTGGACCGCCGGGCGTCATCGGATGCATTGGTGTGTGCGGCGTATGAGGCATCTGAGGAAGAGTGAAGTGCGTTTTAGTATTCGAGTTGTCAAATGTTGGGCAGCGATTTGTTGTATTCCATTGATAGTTATGCAATACAATACTCACCTGATCTGTTAGGCTTTTCTCCATGGCGTTAAGCTGGTCCAGAGAATTGGCTGTATCACCTGCATGCTGATCGGCGACACCAACGTCACCACCGCCATACATATCAAAGGGACTGCGTCTGTTAGGTGGAAAGTGGTCTCAAGTTAAGATTTCTGCGCTACACTTAATCGTTTAAAAAGTAAACTTACATTTGACCAGCGCCGGGTACATTAGGCGTGCCCGCATTCATGTCGTGTTGCATGTAAGGACTCATCGCCTGCGAGTTGTCCCATGGTGACATAACTTTTGATTGATCGTCAAATGTGTTTTCCTGTTTAATAGTGGGTACATTGGGGCCACTCAATTGACCGGCCATCTGGCCTACCATCTGAGCTGCCATTTGTCCGGGCATTTGATTAGCCATTTGACCGGGCATTTGGCCTCCTACCATCTGACCCATTTGTCCTGGCATCTGACCTGGCATTTGACCGGACATCTGAGCGCCCATTTGGCCTGGCATCTGTCCCCCCATTTGGTTAGGTGCCTGGCCGCCCATTTGTCCTGGCATTTGTCCGCCAGGCACTTGACCAACCATCTGTCCTGCCATTGGGCTTGGCATTTGTGCCGACATCGCAGTGAGTGGAGAGCCTTGATGAATACCTTGCGCCGCGCGCCAGTTACCACTCGAATCGACAATGACCTCGTCCACATCCGTGCCATTCAGTTTATCCAAAATGGCCCAGACATACTGATCGATCTCTAAGCTTTCGGTTAGCGCAGGTTTACTGTAATGTAGATGAAGTTTTAGCAATGAGTTTTCGAAAGAACTAATATAAGCTGTGAATATATTTGATAAAGAGCTGAGATACTCACTTGCATTCTGGACACCGCCAGGCGCCACGTTCGCAATTCATAAGCAGATATGCCTCCAGATCGAAACACTGGATATGCTTGCACTCGTGTCCTCGCGCAGGCATACGTATTCGAGACTTCATGATCGGACATTTCAATGAGATCTTGGTGCACTTGGTTGCTTCCATGTTGCCAGCGCCGGGTTCTAATGGGCCGTTAGTCGTTGAGCAGACCATGAAGTTGCGTTTGATTTTGGCTACACAATGATCTACAGGTAAGCAGTTGCGTTTGTGCAAACTCTGGAGTACATGCCGCACGGAGGGTCGATGGACTAGCTGCAGCACGAACAAGTGGGACTGAAAGAAACAAGATTTGAGATAAGATATACGATCAAAAATTTATAAAACAATACGAAGGGCTATTCGGAGGATTATAATACTTACACAACAGCAGGAACTAGCGGTTAATTGCAGAGTATTGCGTCCGGGTTGACATACCGCCTTGAGATATAGCGGCCGTAATGCTTGACCCGTCTTCTCCGAGCGTTCAATGGTGAGGGGTGTAGCATTGGCAGATACTGTTACCGTATGCGGCCAATTTGTGTTCATCTGTCGGTCATCTTGGTGGAAGCATTTCAACTGCAGCTCGAGATCGGAGCTAAAAACAAGATGAACGATTAGACTCTGAAGACGATTTATGTTCTCAGACGGGGTTAAACTTACCGACACATGAGCGTATTGTAGACATTCTGCTTCAAGTGGAATACGTGATTGCTGACGGAGAGATTGTGCAGCAAACGGAACGGTGGAAGTATGATGCCATCACGGACGGGGAATGTCAGTCGCATCTCTTCGCCTACAAACCCAATAATATTGTTCGATGGTATGAATGAGCGTTTGTGTGTGTGTATGTAAGGAGGGTATAAAAGAGTAAAAAGAAATAAAAACTCGTTAGACAAATATTCTCTACGTGCGTTGTGGACTTTTTGTCGACTTACAGTTGTCCATAATTGGTTTGATGTCTGGATTCGGACTGATGTATGGAACGCTGCAGGCAGGTGTTAATGGCGGCGTCGGATTACCAGGAACTGGGCTGTGTTGGTAATTTTGCTGGAAACTACACAGGGAAATAAGAATTCAATAAATCTTTATAAACTTGCAAGGCTATGGCTGGATAGCGGGAGAATTGGTAGTTTGGCATATAACTAAACGATGGACTATATGGAAGGGACGAAGGTTGTGGATCAGAGGATTGAGGGAAATATAATAATAACAAATTATAAGAATTTTTACTCACCCTTGATTCTGGTACATGGAACCGGTATTCGTTAGAGAGCCCGGACCAGCCGGACCCATGCCAGGACCACCAGCACCATTTACGCCTGGATAGTATTGATTCTGTTGATGCGCCATAGCGGCACTATAACCGCCTGGACCTTGTGGCATACCACGTTGCATTGCACTCACACCACCAGGACCCATACCGCCTGGACCCATAACGCTTGGGCACATTCCACCAGGACCCATGCCACCTGGACCCATACCACCGGGACCCATGCCACCTGGACCCATACCACCCGGACCCATACCACCCGGACCCAAGCTACCGGGGCCCATACCGACTGGACCCATTGCATTAGCTCTGCCATAGCCACCCATTGGACCGCCACGAGCATAGGCGCCCGCTTGCATAGGTACTGGCACACCGCTACCCGCTTGCGGATGCATCTGCTGACCATAATGTTGCATGCTCATTTGCGGAGGAACATTCTGCATCGAAGGATTACCCATGGAGGTGTAGCTAGCTCGCTTCTGCGCCGCATGCATTTGTGCGCTGGGATATGGTGTGCTGCGTCGCGCATAACCACCGTTCGCCATGCCTTGCATTTTGGCCATAGGTCCAAGGCCGCTCATTGCCTGCTGCTGTTGCTGTGGCGTCATTTGTGGACCGCCACCCATACTCATATTCTGCATCTGATTCATTGGGTTCATCTGTAATGAAGAGTTTAAATTTTAGTTTAAAGCACTGTGGCAATAAGAGCAGCGAAAACTTATAGAACTAAAGTCAGTCGGCTTAGCATTAAGGACGCCTACACGAAAACTATGTTCACTGTTTATTTTTTTGTACTGCAGTTGGGTATCAGCAATTGGCAGATTTAGTGGAATGTTAAGTTCGGAGGACCAGGGACGCATATGACTACATTGTGCACCATCACATTCTTCAGTAAAAGGAACGGGCTCACTTGAAATTCCCGATAGATTATGACCAGCATGCACTGCATCTAACGGTTCTGAAGCCTCCGGAGGGTTTACAGGTGTCTCGGTCGGCATATTATTGGCTTCATTGGCGGCCATTATAAAAGTTGACTTGAAAAGCGTGTGCCGGTTCCAAAAGGGTTTAACACAAATATGCACTTATGAATTTCAGATTATAAAAAATTTCAAATTTCAAAAAAAAATTTTCGATTCAATAAAAATGACAACCTCAAATTGTATGCTATGCTTGAAATGTTTGTGCATGAATATTTTCGAAAACTATGGATTTCGAAACTGAAATTACTGAAGTAGAATGAATGCTTTGCTTAAGCTAATGTTCAAGTATGTAGTAATGCAGATTTATCTTAGTTAGTTAGATACTAACTTAAGGGTCTGAATAAAAAGAAAACAAACGAATGTACTCAATCAGTTGATTCCTCCTCAAAGACTTCAGTTCGATAAATAACAAAAACACGAAAGCAGTTCCATTCATAGGGTGTGTAAATTTCACCTCATAGAGGTCAATACAGCTTTTCCAAAGCGCTTATCTTAGACACTACAGTAAGATTTCAGGACGGTTTTTCTATTGCATACTTTTGTCACTGTTGCAACGATCTATTTATAAAGCAGCCCGTGCCATTGTGAGTTCGCAAACACTATGTACGTATCTAATAGATATAGTATAGATGCATATGTACCGAAATGACATGGCTCTAAGGTATATACGAACGCTTGACAGCTGCAGTGAGTGCTCACATAACCTTCACTGTCCGACAAATGTGTTACCGCAAATCGCCATGCTCATCAGTAGCGCTTCAAAGGCGCAGCAACTGCGCATGCGCACACGTTTTTTGTATTTTCTCTTATTTCATTGTAACAAAAAGCATTTGCGATTTATTTTCCCTTTTATTAATTGCGCTTATTTGTTATAAAGTTTGTAATTTTTTTGTTGTATTTTTTATTTTTGCTACCAGCGAGTTTATTGCCTTTTTGCTTTCTCTAAGTGGAATTATGTGCAAATAGACACAAACATACATACGATTTCCAAGCATGTAAATTGTGGTTGTTGCTGTTGCAGCAATGAATGTAATGCTTTTCATTTAATTATTTTCGCTTGGTACGAGCGGCGAGCGCTTGCGTGTCACTGCATTTGCCAGCCACAGTCCGTCATATGGTGTTTAAAACAATTAAATTTGTTATTGAAATTATAAGTGAACAGAAAAACAAAAACCAGCTAAAAATGAAAGCATAAAAAATCATCGAAAAACCAATAATATTCAGAAATGAGAAAAAAATGCCCAAATCGGCTTGTCTGAGAAAAGTTGCCACTGCACTGCACAGCAATCACAGTTGCGACATGCGATTTGGTTGCAATCATTGCTTCTAATGCAATCAATACAACGCAGTAAGAAATAAAAATGTAAAAATACAAAAACACAAACAATTGTAGGAACAAAAAATCTATATGAGCAGTTGTATTCAATATGCGCTTTTTGCTGCTCACACTCAAATCATTTGCATATTTAGTGTGTATGTATATGTGTGTGTGTGCTTGCAAGTTCAAATGCATGCAGGAATGTTTGTGTAAAAACATCGATGCGACAGTTGAGGCGTCTGAAGTTCAACTTACGACAAATGCACTTCGCACTCATCGGACGTTTTTACAATATGACAATATGACAGTAGTAGACTATGTAAATATTGGCATAGGAAGGTGAGAAGTGCAGTTGCGTACACATGTTTATTGTACACTACAAGGCGCTGTGGCAATAAGCACAGTGGGCTCGGTCGGTGTTATGAGGGTTTTTAAAATGTAAAAAATTAAAAGCAATAAAGTTAAAGTAATATAAAAAAAATTCAGTTCAATGCATTAAATAATAATAAAAATATAAGTTTAATAAAGTTAATCAGTTATGTAAAAATAAAGTTATAAAAAATTTTAAAAACATATTATATAACAAGAAGGAGTTTTTAAAATATAAAACGTTGAAAAGTAATATCGAAAAAAAACAATTAAATACAATAAATAATAATAAAAAAAATAGATTAAAAAAATAACAATTATATAAAAACGAGTAAAAAATAAATACAAAAACTAATAAAATAGAAAAAGTCAATAATAAATAGTTATAAAAAATATACATGTAAATTATTATTGCATACAAAAAATTTTGAAATAAAAAATTAAAACCATGTTAAAGTTAAATTGGAAAAAAATAATTATAAAAAACTTTTTTACAAATAAAATTGTTAACAAAAAAAATATCTAAATAATTAAAAAACAATAACTCAATCAGCATAAAAACGTATTTTTAATCTTAAATATTAAAAGCAAAAAATTTTGGAAAAAAATTATATTAAATACAATAAATATTTAAATTTTTTAAAAATAAAAATAACTGTATAAAAAGAAATTATAAAAAAGTAAGGAAGGGCTAAGTTCGGATGTAACCGAACATTTTATACTCTCGCAAGGTCAAATGGTATACTCGTTTGAGATTTCTTTGTGGATTGACTGATATTTTCGGTAGAAGGTCAACTATAGGCACTGGGGTCCACATATTTAGTACTTAGGGGTTTCAACAGTTTTGGTTCGATTTAGACAATTTTTGGCCGCAAGGTGGCATACTTTAATTGCATTATTCACGCAAAGTTTTACCCCGATATAATCATTTTTACCTGATTTGCATAGTGGAATGTGAAAGAATCAGATGGAATTGAAAATGGTGTTACATGGGAAGTAAGCGTGGTTGTAGTCCGATTTCGCCCATTTTCGCACTATGACATAGAAACATGAAAAGAACGTTACGCACCGAATTTGGTTGAAATTGGTTAAGCAGATCTCAAGATATGGGTTTTTACCTAAAAGTGGGATGTGCCACGCCCACTGTCTAATTTTGAACGCGGTTCCTATAAAGTCATCTTATACCATTTCAGAGATAAAATTTAATGTCTCTGGCGTGTTTAGTGCTTGATTTATCGCGCTTTTAGTAGTTTTTAACAGTACCGTTATATGGGGAGTGGGCGGAGTTGCCACCCGATTTCAACTATTTTCACACCGTCAATAGAAGTGCTAAAAACATTTGCTTCCAGTGAATTTTGTTATTATAGCATTAGCGGTTTAGGAGATATGCACATTAAACCTATTAGAGGCGGGACCACGCCCACTTTTTAAAAAAGAATTTTAACTGCAGATGCCCCTCCCTAATGTGATTCTGTGTACCAAATAACAGTCTTGTATCTTATTGCGGAGCTTAGTTATGGCAAGTTATTTGTTTTTGATTAATGGCGTTTTGTGGGCGTGGCAGTGGTCCGATTACGCCCATCTGCAATACCAACCGTCTCACGGTAACAAGAAACATGTCTACCAAGTTTCATAAAGATATCTCAATTTTTACTCAAGTTAGAGCTTGCACGGACGGACGGACGGACAGACGGACGGACGGACAGACAGTCACCCGGATTTCAACTCGTCTCTTCATCCTGATCATTTATATATACATAACCCTATATCTAACTCGATTAATTTTAGGTGATACAAACAACCGTTAGGTGAACAAAACTATTATACTCTGTAGCAACAGGTTGCGAGAGTATAAAAAGTTAAATAGTATATAAAAAATAATTAAACATGAAAAATATTACAAACACTAATATAAAAAATAGGAAGAGAAAATAAAATTAAATGCGTTGAAATAAAATAAAATTATATAAAAAATTAAAAAAAGACCCACAAATAAAAAATACTTAAAAATATAATATGTCTAAAACAACGATGGAAAAAGTACAAAACATTAATAATGATACAAAGCACATTGTCACATGGTTGCTTTATGCATTAAGAGTAAAACAAAATTTTGGAATTAAAAAATATAATAAAAAAAGTAGATAAATAAAAATAAAAAATTTAATGCAAGAAATAAAAAAGTTAAATATGAAAAAGAGCGCAAAAAAATGTGTGAATTGCCTATCGAAAATGCAGAAAAAAATTAATTTATTAAAAATAATAAAATAAGCAATAATAATTAAATATAATATATATAAAAAATTAATAAAAAATAGTAAAAAAACCCGCTCTAGCGCATACAAATCCTTTTAAGACCTAATGTAGAAACTAATCTTTACACTCATTACCCAAGTCTCAAAATATTTATACATATTTTATGGCACAGCAGTACTTACGGCATGATTATATTTACAGCTATTATTGAAATTACTTTACTAGCATGATTTTTCAACTTTTGCATTCACGTGTTATTAATGCAAAACAATTGAAAATCTGCCGCGTGTGCTTTGTTACTTTACGAGTGGGAAATAATAATGACAGTAAATATGTATGTTTGCACAATATTTTTAAAATAAATCTTAATGCATTCAATATTAAATGCATGTAAGCGCATACACACACACATACATACACATAGCCACATGCATGCAAATATAGAATATTGCGTTATTTGATTGCCTGTGGCACATGTAGTCACTTCGGTTAGTCGAAATGAGTGTCAACAATATTAATGTTAAATATAACAAATATAATGACAGCAATTATTCAACTAATTTTACTACAAATTGTAGACAAAACAAGAAATCAACATCTCCAAAGCGCAGACTGTGGCGCCTTAAGCATTGTGCTGCTCAGAAGCGATTTGCATCGAAACGAAATGCTCAGCTAAACGCCGCAGTGTGCATGCATTTATATCACGAATGTACGCGCACACTTGTGTTATTGCCTGTTCGATTTGAAATCGTAGTTATGTTATGTAAGGCTTATGCAAGCGCTTTTAGGTAGCGATGTGTGCATATGGCGGCTGTAATCATGCCTTTGCTGCCACAATCTATTATAGCAGTTAATGATTCGAACAATTCGATATTTATTTTATTATTATTTTTTATTCTTTTGTGTGTAAAATTGTTTTTGGTTTATGACAGCATTGGCTGGCGATGCTTTGCGGCTTTGCTGTTTGATATTCGTGTTATTTTCATTAATTGTGTCATTGATCGTTTTAATTGTGAGCTGAGGTGTTGAAGTTTTCAATGATGAGTAAATGCGAACAGCAAATAAATCTGCTATGATTAAATGCATAGCAATTTTCTACATACGTAAATTCGATTTTTTTATAAAAGCTAGCAAAATGTTTAACCAGAGAGTTGACACGCATCAGCACTGACACATCATTGCTGAGCTTTGCATGCATCATAACTGAGCAGTGTTGAAAGATAATGAAAATTTCATTAAAAATTGCGCCACTTCCTCTAATTTTGATTGAATTTGCCACATATAAAAGCTAACTTTTAGGCGCTTTACAAGAGTGGATTGATTTTCAGCCGAACACATTATAAAGTGACCTTAATATAATATTTTACTGCAGTCCATATGCTTTGATGCGCATTCAAGGATAATAGAAATGAATAGCAAAGCGCCACTTAGATTAAAATGAGAGCAACAACTGCAAAAACGCTGCCTTAAACTCATCCACTACAAGCCACATGCTGCGCCTCATATCCGACGCCTATTCGCCTTCAATATAGCGCTATACTACACAATCATTTGGCCTTGAAACTCGGAAGGGTCAAAGAAACACTGTTTTGTTTTTGCAAAAACTTCACTTACTTGATGCCTAGATGGCGCTATATTGGGATTGCCATTGGGGCCACCACCGCCGCCATTGTATGCATTCATGTGTCCCATTTGCATGTTGGAGCCGGCATTCATGTTAACATTTGGATTGCCAGCCACTTGGGAGGCACCAGCGCCACCGCCAATGCCGCCGGCGCTATTCATATTGGTCGCACTTGGACTACCGCTGCCCGTTGCGCCGATGTTGCCATTCATGTAGAGATTTTGCACATTGCCACCATGCATTTGATTGGCACTCATCTGTAAGAAAAATCGAAAAAAAGTTGACGGGGGTTAAAGTAGTGAAAATGCATTACATAAAACTAATTTTCTCATTTATGTCTTCTTCTGTGGCAAAAAGTATTGAAAAATTTTAAATATCTTGCGGAAATCATTGAGTGGTTTATTTTAATTTTCCTATTGCTCTACCTCGTCAAATAACTTCATATACAAGATAACCTAAATATTGCAGGCTTTAACGCTTAAAAGCAAGCATTGCATATTTAAATGTGTCAAAATAAAAACGTGACATACTTTTAGGCTCTTATTTACTAAACTATTTTCCACGATATCCATTTGTATAAATCACAATTCCATACACAATAATAAATATAGCTGCTTTGAATTAGAAACCCTACTTGTAACGTGCACGTGCGCCTAAAAGTACACAATGGTTTCCACAAAGTCTACTAATCTATTAGCAAATCCTTCGCTTGTTGTTTAGCTTAGCAAACTTTTGCTCTTACACACACATGGACGCCGTCTTGCTTGCTTACCTGTCCATATCCACCGGCCATGCCGCTCATATTATCCATCTGTTGTTGCTGCTGCAGACCACCACCATTCGCCGTTACCATATTACTATAGTTACCGTAGCCGCTTGTTGTAAATTCGGAATTCGGGCCAAATGTATTCTTTAGTGTGCGTAATGTATCAGGCTCACCCATGGAGTATTGACCGATTGGTGGTGTGATGCCATTCTGTGCTCCTGGTGAGTTGTATATTGGTGGATAGTTGCCGTATGTATTATTATTTTGTTGTACAGATTGTTGTTGTTGTTGCTGCTGATGTTGTAACTGCTGTTGTTGCGCTTGCTGTTGATGCTGCTGCTGTTGTTGTTGATGTTGCTGCTGTTGCTGCTGCGTTTGTACGTCGGGTAGTTGTGGTGATATCTGGCTCCCGGAGGCTGGCGCCCTCGAGGAGCCGTTGCCGGCGTTCATTTCATCATTTTTTCTGCAAAAGAAGAAGAGAGAGGAGGTCGTAGGTTAGAAATTTGTGATATTTGAGAGTGGTTTTAAATATTTATGTAATATTAGAATATTTTGCGATGTGAATTAGCATAACTTTAAAGCGTAAATCACTAAAAATAATACAAGAGACACTTTTTCATCCGTTTTGCTGACGTTGATGACGAAGCTTCTCGTGCTGTGCACTTCTAAGCCTTCGCATTTCCGCCGAACCGCATAAAGAAAATAAAAATATGCGCTTGTATAAAAAGATTTCGTACTTCACGATCTATTTTAAGCCTATGCAAATTCGTTAACGACGTAAAACTTAGCATTGACATGCGACATTGACAGGAAGCAAGTATTTGAGTTGCTAAATAGTTGCCAAATTTTAGCAGCCCAGTAGGAAATCAATTGCAATTGATTCGATAATTTTACATAGCAATGTTGAAATTTAACGCGCGTATTTGAGTTATAGCATTAATTTTGAATTCGTATTTTTAAATTTTGCATGAAAATATGCAATTTATACCATTGACATTGCATATACTCTAAAGAAGACTCTAAGTAAAACGTTGCTGGAAATGTACTTTTACTTTTTATTGTAACCTTGTGCAAAGTGAAATCAGTTGATGAAATTCCCTACAGGGTACTTTCATGCAGGCTGAAAAGACGCATTTTGAATATATACATCTTGAAACTTATTATTTTTTTGAGTCTAGAATTTTAAAACCAAAGCAAGCTTGCTGTTTTTTATATTTATGAGTCGTTTACTCATGTTATGCACATACAGAAAAGTGCAATTGCCTAATAAGCAACAAAAACAGCCGAAACTAATATAAAGGTGCGTTCACATATGTGCGGCCATCAGGACGTTCTACAGCACCTGTCCTTCGCTGTGTTTCCTGTATGTTGCATGCATATACTTACTTGTATATACACACACACATATATATATATATATATATACCTATATACAAGATACATATATGTTTGTATGAAAAATTCATTAGCAGACATCTGAGTATAATTTTAGGATATATTTTTTGTTGTTTTTGTTTCGCTTTAAAATGTTTTGATGTCGCCTTTCTGTTCGCCTGTATACGGTATTTATTTCAAGGATGAGTTATCGCATGAAATTATCGAAGCAAGCAGGCAAAGGTGGATGAATGCGAATAAGCCAGCAGAAAGGCTGCCGAAAGTAGGTGCAGGTATCCAAATTGAAAAGCAAAAACAAAGCACAGAAATATGAACTAAGTCAAACAAAGAAACGAGTGTAAGCTGTACTTGTTAATCTATACATGTACATATGTACACATCTATATATGTATATAGGCGTACTTGTGCTCATGTAGACACTTGCATGCAGCTACATAAATGGCGCGTGTGGCTGTTGACAAAGCACATAAGTGAAGAAGCGTCAGCGAAGGAGACAACAGCGACTTAAACACACACACACACACATTTTAGTGCAACCACATATTACACATATTGCAAAAATTTCGGCCTATATGGTTGTTTGTGAGCTGCTTGTGCAACTGCTTCGCGGCTAACCGAATTTTTTTTTTGTGTTTTTGCATTCTCGTCGCTGTCGTTTACATACGCGTATATTTATTTATTTATGACAAATATGTACGTAAATATTTAAGTATACAAGTGACTGCGCAAAGGTGCACACACAGGAAGTTCATGCTCCTTTTATGGTATAAGCATGCATACATGTGGATCAGCGCCAGCGCACAAAGCAGTTGCTCCACGGAAGAGAAAAAAAAACGGCAGCTGCAGAGATGTGTCTGGTTTACAGGAAAAGGTGTTTTTTCTTCGAAACTTAGCTTTTTACTTGTTTTGTGAACGTAAAGTTATGTGTCGGTAATTTTTGTGTTGAGAAATATAAATTTTTTGGAATTTTATTTAATACCATATCAGAAATTAATGCAAGAGAAGATGATTTTTTAGTTTTGCCCTATTTTTAAATATGAAATTAAATTTTTCATAACTTTAGGAAATTGAATTACTTTCCAACTTTCATAAGGTAACGGTTAAATACTGAACTGATACTTTTTCTGTTGTATTTCAAATAAGGCTACTTAAATTTGAAATAATGATAATTGAATGCAATTTTAAAATTGCAATTAGTTAAAAACTAGTGAAAAATTAACTAGTTACAAACCAGTGAGCAATAAACTAGTTACGATGCGTTGAGTATTTATTTTGGTAATTAAACTAAAAAATGGCAAATATTGGAAAATATAACTAGTTACCAACTAGACCATAACGAACCAATTGGTACTGTAAGCATATGTAACAGCATAGCAACTTTTCTCGCAAGCTTTAATATATACATATTTCGTATGAATAAAGTAGCGGCTTCACAGCCATATTAACTATTAATATTTTGGTAGGTAGGTATGTGTATACATACTATTTATGTATGGTATATATATATGTAGATATGACACAAATTTTTCCATGAACATACAAAATTTGTTTGTGCTATGCATTCCAATAAACCCACGCAAGCAACGCACTTAGCGAGTCCTTTTTGTGCCACTAGCATAAAACTTTAATTATTTGTTTTTTGCTTTGCTATTTAGCCACCCACAAGCATTTCGCCGCCGTTCTTTAAACAAGCTTCACGGCAGTCAATTGAGTCGCTACAACAAATGCCAAATACATATAAACAAACATATTGTACACCAGCAAACACAAACATAGCATGCATGTGTTGGTGAGAAGGTCAACAGCGGCGCGGCTATTTAAGGCTGTGGGCGTTTGTCAGCAAAAAAGCTCCTTGCTTGGCGGACTTTGAGTTTCCATTTTTATTTAATTTTACTTGTGGCGTGCAACAAGGCAACAAGGCAGCCAAGGCGCCAGCGCGCACTTCACGTGAACCGTTAAATAGTCAGTTAGTTTGGTGAGCGCGGTCCATTAACTGGCAAAGGAGACAGTTAGACGGAGGGAAAGTCAGGCAGTCAGTCAGTCAGCGGTAAAGTTTGCTGGTGCGAGGCCACCTTGACATAATTTGTATCTTTTGTGTAAACTGTATACTCCTACATATAGCTATATATACATATTATACATACATACATGTACGTATATGACTATGGCAGCGGAAAGAGGTTGCAAGTGGCATTTTAAAATGGCTCAGTGCCACATTGAAGTATGGCAACAGCAACAACCAATACAAGTATATATCGTATATGTGTGTGTGTTTGTATATACATATTTATGTATGCGATATTGTGGGCGCTTGTGTCGTATGCTGTCGTAAAGGTCATAAGGACACCGACAGCTTGCCGTTGCTGACATTGCTGTTGTCATTGTTTTTGCATTTTATTGATTACAGTTAAGTAAAGCTAACGTTTTCATGAATAGCAATAGCTTACAGACAGCAGTACTTTGTAATATGACGACAAAGTTTTGTTGAAAGCCACTAATACTAATAAAACTACTCGCATATGTATTTTCCAATGAAATATTATGTTTTTTTACTTTCGATTTCCATATATATTTTCTAAATATTTGTGGTATGTCTGTATGTTTGTATGTGCACGAATGGATTGTGTGAGAGTGCGGCTTATAAGAAAATTAATCAATTGGAGGCAAAGTAAGCTAAAAGCGTTATGTACCCGGGCGACTACCAAGATATATACATACAAACATACATACATGTAAATATGTATGCCTATGTATATATATAATTATTAGCATGATCAACTGGTATTTCATCCATTAGTAGCCATATTTTCATACTATTATAAAGACATCAATACATACACACATACATAGTATGTATATACATATGCTTGGAAAGCCAGACAAGCCACCGCAGAGCACCTGATAACTTCATAAATATCGGTCATAAGTAAGAGCCCAGTGGGTGGCAACAACAATAGCAACCATGATACATATGCAAAATTTAAGCACGTATATTTACCTATATTATGTACGTATGTACATACATATGCATGTATTCAGTTTAACGGCACAATGTGCTGTTGTGCGTGGCGGGACATTGGTTGACATCAGTATTTATGTGAAGCTTTGTTTAAAATAACTGTGTTTACTAAGAAACCACTTTGCTTTTGTATTAAGCCTGAAATGTGCACACCAAAATACATACATATCTATGTTTATATAACTCTAATTTAGGAAATTTGCTGCTGCCTATACCTTTGTGTGATTAACTGGTATAATCCAGTAAAGAAGGTAACGATATTAAAAATATATTAGAGATTCCGGTTTACCTTATCCATAAATCTGCGGTTCAAACGAGAATAATGTTAAATATTATATTTAACTGAAAAAATCATCTATAACAATTTATATATTTTTTAATCTATCTTTAGTTTTATATATGTATTTTAAATTGAAAAAAATATAAACATTTTATGTAAATTATATAAAAAATATTAATTTAGCCACATTCATACTGTTTTTATCTAATATTTTAAATTTTAAAAAGTTTAAAACGGTATAAGTAAAAAAAAACTTAAAAGCTTTAAGCTTAAAATCAAATAAATTCATTTTTAAAAAATGTATATAGTACGCATATATACTTCAAAGTCGTTTAATTTATATTATATTTTTATTATTTATTTTTTTAATACCTTTTTGATATAGTTTTTAAATTAATAGTTTGACATAAATACATTACTTTAAAAGTTTGAATTTGATTTATTCTTTGTAATTCCTTTTAGTTATTGAAAAAATGACTTTTTGAAATAAAATATTCATTTCAATAATTATTGCTACAAAATATAAAATTAGTTGAAATAATTATAATAAAAAATAATACGTTTATTTCAGTCGTTTGAATAAACTGTAGTGATTTTTTTTATATATTCTATTTAATTATTTGTTTATTAATTTTTTTATATTTATTTTTTTTATAATAATAATTTTTTTTATAATAATAATTTTCTGTATATTTCTTTTATAATATTCTAAGTTCGATGTATGTTGTTTGGATAATATTTTTTTTTGAAAATATGTTTAGTTATTTCA